ATGTGTGGGAACCCAAGAGTAGAATAGAGTTGGGGTCCTTGGAGGCACTGAGTCCAAGGACCCCAGCATGACCTCTTCTCTTCAACAACCCTGTCTTCCGAGGTTTCCAGGGAGGGGGACATCCCTACTTCCTCTGTTCCTTCAAAGGAGGCCCTCCTCCCATGTGCCGGGCATCCATGGCAGAGTCTGGAAAGTCTCGGGCCTCGCGGGGCTTCCGTTCCACGGGGAGGACAAGCAATATAAACAAATAATAGATAATTCGGTGCAGGAAGTGATAAGTTCTATGGAGCAAAACAGTTTGTTCCCTCAAGAACAGTCACAGCCCCGCAGCTGTGAGAAAACAGCCATCCCTCTAGAGCCTTCTCTGTACCAGGCTTAAAACCCGCAAGCTCCTTCAGCCATTCTGGACTCCTCTGGTTTCTAGATAACCACCCAAAAGGGGGCACAAGCCCCTCAGCGTATGGTCAGGCCAAGAAATGCCCCACATGATCTCTAGAGCCCTAGCTCTGGTTCCCGGGTTTCTGTGGGTTTCCATTGGTTTCCACTAACACAGTCAGCTTTCCCACCTCCGTCCTTGGCAGCCCCTTCACACTCCTGACTCATCTCCAGCCTACAAGCCGTGAGGAGCCCCATATCTTTTCCTCATGAACTACTGCTAAGCCCTATCTCTCCCACCTTATTTTAAACTCAAGCGCCAGGATTTATATTTATCCTGGTAGTTTCATCTGGCGTGAGGCCGACTATCACTCAGCCTGCCAAGGCTGTCTTCCAGATCCCAGTCTGATATCCAAACTCTCTTCCAGCTGAAGTAGAAGTCTGATCACTCCTGTCGCTCAGCCTCCCGGGCACTGAAGAGGGGTCTCCGGCCAAGGGGACCTTGCTCCTTCACGTGGACTCTCGACGTGTGGCTGCCGAGGGGGCCACAATGCTCCTGGGTCATCAAGGTTAGCCATGTGGTACCTGAGAAAGCTTCATGTTCTGCTGGTCATTCTAGTAACTGATTTTAAAATTCCTTTGACATATTACAGATCAGAAGTTCCCACATCTATATGACCAGCAGAAGTCCATGGGAACTTTTAATTTTTTTTTAAGATTTTATTTATTTATTTGAGAGAGAGCGAAAGCGAGAGAGATCACAGAGGGAGAGGGTGAGGCAGACTCGCCGCTAAGTGGGGAGCCCGATGCGGGGCTCATTCCCAGGACCCTGGCTGGGATCATGACCTGAGCAGAAGGCAGACACTTAACTGACTGAGCCACCCAGGTGTCCCTGTGTTGTCGTTTTTAGGGGTTATTGAATCTATATTGGTTCTTGCTGATCTCCACTGCCCTTTCTGAATGCCCACAGACAATGGCTTCCAGAAGTCTGCATTTCTGTGGCTCTTTGGCGAGATCCCCTCTGCATGGACTGGGACATGGCCCTGTAACCCTGGCATCTGGCCCAGAGAAAGTATCAACTCTTTAACCGATAGTTCAACAAACCTGGGGGTAGGGAAGGTAGGGAAGGGTGTCCAGGGGTCACCTTACTCAGAGTACCTTTCCTGCCCTGGTCTTCTACTCCATCATCCCACCATGGCTCCTTGATTCTCCAAGATGGGGAAGACAGGGCAGAAGGGGAATTGAGTTGGGGCTTCGTTCTCTGAGGTTCTAGGAGGTTCCATCTCAGAGAGGGATGAGGTGAGGCGGTGGGGCCCTGCCCTCAGGTACTACATTTAATGTGGCACCAACAAACCCAGCCATAAACATTGACAATTTATTCATGCACTATCTTAAAATAGAAATGAGGGCCAAGAAATCCACAATGAACAAAATATCAAATTGTAAATAGGATCAGTACTGTGCCAAGCCATGTCAGAGCCTGGGGTAAAAGGAAAAATAAGTAACGGAAACAATGCAGAAAGAGGGAGAGTTCAACGCATTTATGACCCTGCTCCCTCCCTACCAGGCTGCTGGTTGGCTCTGGTCCCTCTTCAGTCCCCACTTCAAGGGCTAGTAGATGTGGCCCCTCCTCCTGGTTTGGGTCCCCACCCTGCCTGCCAGCTCCAGCTCCAAGCTCTCAGTGGCTCCCGCTCCTGCTGTTCCCAAAGCACTTTACCACCCCCTGCTGCTTTCCTTCTCTCTGCCCATTCCTGGGTAAACTGTCCCTGCATTGAACGCTCCCACTGGAAAGAAAGACAGGAAGGAGCGAAGGAGGGAAGGAGAGAAGGAAGGAAAGGTGGGAGGGAGAGAGGGAGGAAGGAAGGGCAGAGCAGGAAACAAATTTTTTTAATTTCAAAAAAATTTTTTTTTTAATTTTTAAAATATCCCAAGATAGAAAAAATATTACATCCATGACACAAGAACAGAATGCTTGGGGTCCCTGGGTGGCTCAGTGGGTTAAGCCTCTGCCTTCAACTCAGGTCATGATCTCAGGGTCCTGGGATCGAGCCCCATATTGGGCTCTCTGCTCAGCGGGGAGCCTGCTTCTCCCTCTCTCTGTGCCTGCCTCTCTGCCTCCTTGTGATCCCTCTCTGTCAAATAAATAAATAAAATCTTAAAAAAAAAGAAAATAAGGCTGAAGTGTGCCTGGGTGTCTCAGTCAGTTAAGTGTCTGCCGACTGAGCCCTCCATCAAGTTTCCTGGTCTGCAGAGAATCTGCTTCTCCCTCTCCCTCTGCCCCTCCCCCACTCATGTCGTGCTCTCTCGCTCTCTCTCAATTAAATCAATAAAATCTTAAAAGAAAGAAAATAAGATTGAGAAAAATCTTCCAGAAAATGGACCACCACCACCACCACCAAGCAAGCTATGCAAACACACAGAGGCAAAAGGCATAGACAACAGGAGAGAGAAGGAAATTCAAGGATCAATCCTTGATATGGACATCTAATCAAGGGGAATTGTGGAAAGAAGAGAATAGGCAGAGAGAAGACTGTCAAAGAAATAAAACAAGAGGACTTTCCAGAACCGGTGAATGTAAGTCCTAGGTGGCAAGAGTGCAGCACATATCCAGTGTGGTGGGGAGAAAAAGAGCCAGAGGCAGGGCACATGACCAAACTTCCAGAATACTGGGGTTTACACCCTCAAACGCTTCCAGAGGTGGCGGGAGAGCAGTTATAAACAAAGAACCAGAGTAAGAAGGACAGAAAACCTCTCAACAATGACATTGGAAGCCAGGAGATAATGCCTGCAAACTTCTGAAGGAAAATTATTTTTAATCTAGAATTCTATATTCAGCCAGACTATCAATCAAGTATGAGGATAGAATAAAGGCATTTTCAGACATGCGAGCTCTCTAAAGAATTTTACCTCCTGTGTAACCTTTTTCAGGAAGCTAAACAAACAAGGGGGAGAGACAGGGAAGAGAGGACACAAGGTCCATGGAACAGGGTGCCCAACACAGGAGACAGACCAGGGGGGAGGGTTCCAGTGTCAGAGGAGAAGGAGGCCCCACCATGACCTCGGGGCGGTTGCGTGGGGCAGCAGCCCGCGCAGGTCAGAGCAGGACAACAGGAGAGAGGTTTCCATGGGGGTGGGGGGGATAAAAACAGACTGGTTGGACCACACCAAAGTTCTATTTGAGGCCAGTGGGTATATAAGAATATATAACCATGGTAAGTACAGAAAACTAAGCAAAGGGGGTTCGGGGCAAGGATCCAGGAAAACAAAAAAATCATATAAGAGAGTAAACAATGATATTACCCTGATTGGGTTAGTGGCGAACAATATTTACATGATTATCATGATATAAAGCGAGCATATGGAATTAACAAAAATATTGAGAGCAGGATGACACTCGAGGGAGTATATAAAAGACAAATCTTCATGTACACAACAGGTAGTCAACAGATAATGTCTAAATGAATTAATCAAGAGGCAGCAGCACAAGCAAATTACTTAGGAATACGGTAGTAACCGCCAGGAGAAAAGGCCTCTAGTGGTGCCTCTGGAGCAAGGGGCGGGCAGGTGCAGAGGGGCGGGGTAGAGGGGCGGGCAGGTGCAGAGAGGCGGGGCGGTCTCCCGCGCTTTGTTCTCCGATCTTAGCAGCATTTGATCTTTTTTGACTACCTACGTGCACTCCTTTGATGTAAAAAGATCTTTTTGAACATAAAGAAATGTACGCGAAGAAGCACATCCTGTTGTTGCTTCTCGTTTCATAGTTTTTCTGCGTCCTAGGAATTCAATCTCAGCCATAGGCCCCTATACACACGGCCAGGGGCACGCTCACACGTGTAGGGCCACACACATTCATCACTCACACACGCACAGACAGCCCACGGTGGCAGACACACAGGCAAGCGTACGTAATACAGAAAAAGCCTCAGACACACGTGCAAACACACGCACACATGGTGATCGATTCACCCACAGACACGGAGTCCCCGCCAGGCTCCTGGAAAGAAAGCCTGCTGGGGAGGAGGGCCAGACACCGCAAGGACAGCGCCTCCTCTGGGCCTTGGCCCTCCTGGCCTCCCTTCACCACCACCCCTCCTCCACAGGCAACTGGCCCCAGGCAGAGGAGGTTCTCTGCCCCAAGCTCCACACTAATTGCCTTCTTTACTCTGTGCCCTGCCCGGAAGCTAAGCAGCCTGAGCCTCTGCAGCCATTAAACCTTTGGGGCTGTGCTGTCTGTAAATGGTGCAGAAATGCAAAGGGAGAGGGGCCTGAGCTGGCAGCTGGGTGTGATTAGTAATGCCACCTTCATTCAGCTTTTAGTGGAGGCCACAGGCAGTGAAAAAGTCCAGTGCCAGGAGTCCTGTGCACAGGCTGTGCATCCTTGGGCAAGTCACTTCCCCTCTCTGGGTGCACGAGGAGGAAGGCAATCTATGAAGCTCTGAGATGAGAAGATTTTATGTCCCAGGCCGTGCCCTGCTTTCATCCCCTCCCCTGGGATACCTTTCTCCATGCTGACATCCAAGGTCAATCCCAAAGAATATGTGATTTGTGCATCTGACAGGTACACATAGGGCACCTGGGGAGCCCCCCAATTCCACTTCCCTCCCCTTCCACGTTCCTCCAGCACTTACCACAACCCTGGTCCTGTTATCAGGTAGTGTGTCAATGGCCAGGGTGCCCCCGCCTGGGTCTTGGCTCAGCTGGGTCCTGTCTGACTCCAACACCTGCCCAGGGCTCTCTCGGGCTCTCCGACTCCAACTCTGTGTGGCCCCCTTGGCAGCCCATCCAGAGCCTCGGCCTGCATCCTGACCTGGGAGGAGACAGAAAGCTGAGTCCCAGCAGTCAGAACAAAGGTCCACGGAGGGGACCAGCCCATGTACTCTACGGAGGCCCCAACCCCACGCCGTCCCTGAGTGTGGGGACACCCCACATGTACTGAGAGCCTCAGGCCAGCTCCACACCTCACAGTCTGTGCACAGAACACCTCTAGTCCCTCACCCCGGCCCTCCACAGTAGATACAATGCTCTCCATTTTGCAGACAGGAATCAGGGGCTCACAGAGGTTAAAGATTGTCACACCTTGGGTTAGGGATGGAGGTAAGTTCCAAACCTCCAAAGAGGTAATTATGCTCAACCTCCAGGGCACGCTGGAATCATCAGCAGAGCTTCAAAAATTCCTCCTGTCTGGGTCCCACCCCTGAAATGCTGATATAATTGTTCTGTAGTGTGTCCTGGGCGTTAGGAGTCTTTTTTTTTTTTTTTAAGATTTTATTTATTTATTTGACAGAGAGAGATCACAAGTAGACAGAGAGGCAGGCAGAGAGAGAGGGAGGGAAGCAGGCTCCCTGCTGAGCAGAGAGCCCGAAGCAGGGACTCGATCCTAGGACCCTGAGATCATGACCTGAGCCAAAGGGAGCAGCTTAACCCACTGAGCCACTCTGGTGCCCAGGCATTAGGACTCTTAAATGATCCCCAGGGGAGCTTTCTCCAAAGCCCTGAACCGAACTCTGTAGACAAGAATGAGAACCATTGCTCTGGAATATTCCAAACCTGTTCCTTATTTCTCCATCATAGAATCTCACCTTCCAGGGGACTCCATGGACGAGAAGCCTGAGAGTAGAGCTCTTTTAGTTCAGGGCTTCTCAACATTAGCACTGTGGACATTCTGGACTGGAGAATTCTTTGTTGTGGGGGCTATCCTGAGCCTTCGAGCAAGTCCAGCAGCATCCCAGCCTCTGTCCACTAGATACCAGTGGCATCTCCTCCCAGATGGTGCCGATCGAAGATATCTCCGTGATGGGGACCACTGTTTAGTCCTGCGACTACCTCCAAGCCACTTGGGCAAGTCCCTTTCTCCCTAAAACACTGAGCTTTGCCACCATTAAGAATGGCAAATAGGTTTCATCTCAAAAGTCCTCTCCAATCGATTAGCGACAGCCAGGAGCACTCTCTAATTGAGACAAACTCGGAAGCTCCATCTGCGTGTAGCAAGAGAGATTGTCATGATCAATTAACAATGTCTGCCAGGGCACAGGATTGGAAAGATGCTGCACGCCGGCCGGTTAGCAGCCATTCCAATCGTTCTCTTCTGTCTCCTCTAGGTCGTTAAGTGCATTCCAAATGTCACAGAAATCATGCTATTCCTTTTTTGGAAAGATCTGTGCCCCCAAAGATGTGTCTTACATTGTCACTGCAATTGTCACACCTACTATGGATGTGTGTGTGGGATACAGATCACTGGAGAGGTGGATCTGGTATTTCCTGGGATATTCAATTCCAGGCCCACTCCACGTCGGACACCATTCTCCACCTCTGCCTACCCTAACCCTCCCCAGAGCTGCTAGATACAACCCTCTTTCCTAGAGCGCCGATGATGTAACTCCGTGCCTCTCTCCCTGGTAGACGAGTTCCCCCAGGACGTCCCCATCTTCTGCAAATATGGATCCTCAGTGTCTAGCAAACAGTAGGTGCTCAATCATTGTACAACTGAGGACACGATACTAGAGGTAAGTAACTCTTGGGAGTCAGCAAGGACAGAGGTTGAGACAAGGCTTGGCCAGCACCAGGCCTGGGGCTGGGGCCAGGACTCTGCTGTGGGGCCCTGGTTTGTCATTAGACATTTTATCCAATTAAGTCATTCTTGGCTGCTGGTGCCTGCTGGACCCTTGCCGGCCCCCTCTCACTTCTCTGCCCCTAATCGCAACCAGATGCTCTGGAGAAGGTGGGGAGAAGGGTGGTCCCCAGGCCCCTTCCCCAAGTTGCCCACTGGCTGAGATGGGCCCGCGCCCAGAACTGGGAAGGCAGTGTGCCTGAGGCTCAGACCCCAAGCCAGGGCTGTCTTGCCCCTCTCGGGTGGGGCCCACAGCAGCCTCTGGAGATAGAACCGTTTGTGCTGGGCTGCTTTGCCCAGCTCCCTGGGTCGTCTTGCAAGCAGCCCTTGAGCCTGGGCGAGAGCCAGAACAGGAAAGGAACGTGTACAGAGCGAGCAGAGGAGCTTAATGGGTCTGGAAGGGGGTGTGGAGGATCTGGAGGCATCACTATCCTGCAACGGAGACAGAAGGGTACTTGAAAAGTGGGGGTCCAAGGCCTGAGAGGAGGGCTGGAAAGGGGGACCCAACCAGCTGTGGGGTCAGGGAAGGGACACCTGCACCCACAGGTTGTGGGACCTTGGACCTGTCTGTTGACCTCTCTGAGCTTCCGTTTCCTCAGCATGAACACAGGGATGACAGTCATGCCCATAGCACAGGCTGCCATGAGCATCAAATTCAAATGTCAAATGAGAAGTCTTTATAATCAGAGAACTTGGGGTTCAGGTCAGAGGCAAAGTGTCCATGAAGGCAGGCAGGGAAGGGGATGGAGAGGGAAGCAGCCCAGGAATCCGCCCTACCCTGGCCAAGCCCTGAGTCTGACCCTCTCAACCCCACCCCCACCTCTGTCTCCCTGCCACCCCGCCCCCTCCCAGTCGGCTGGGACAGGACCTCACCCCTCAGCCAACACAGCTGGTGGCTCACATGTGTGTTGCACGGCCCATGTGCCTGTGCACACACAGACTTGCCCCAAGGCCCTGGTCCTCCTCCCCACGCGCTCACACATTGTTGCCAACCTCTCCCCGTGCTTGGCCCCTCTCTGCTCTACCTTCTGTCCCTCCCAGCACCCGTTTTACACAGATGCATGCATGTGAGTGTAGCTGCCTGGGAGCCCTGGCCAGAAGTACCAGAAGAGCCCAGAGCACCCACTCCTGGGTCCCGTAGCCACCCATCTGTTCACCCACAGCCCCAAGTCGCCTGCCGTCTAGTGGGCTGTCCGTGCCGTAATAGGGAGAATAAAAAATGACAGCTAACTTTTGGAGAACGCTTAGTCGGTGCTAGCCCTCTTCCAAATGCTTGAAGCCCATGAACTCATTTACATCCCGCAGTAACCCCTTGGGATGGCTGCTAGGTTGGGTCTATTGTGCAAATTGGGAGCTGAGGCGTGAAGGTGTCGTGGAATCTCCCAATGTCACACAATTAGTCCATGGCAGGACAGGTGCACACGGGCAGGCTGACTTCCAGGAGGGCTGACTTCAGGGTCTGCTCAGGTCATAGGGAGGTCAACAAGAGGGGACCAGGAGCCCCAGGCTGTTTCCTCAGGTGCAGGGACAGCCCGGGGAAGGCCTGGCATACGGGCTTGGCTCACTGGGGACCATCGCGCCCGATCTCAGGAGCCCTGTCTAAGAGACCATGTCCCCTGGCACACGGGGGGCGCCCCAGGAGTGTCACCCCAGACCCTCTGTGGGCCACTGTCCTGCTCTGGCACCAGAAGCCGTGGGCTGACTTCAGGAGGCCATGTCATGCCCAGCCCCAGGGCCTGGCAGAGCCACCCGCCACCCCCGCTTGCCCTTCCTGCCCCACAGCCACCAGGCAATCCAGAAGTCACTGCAGTCACCACCCTTAATGCCCTTGAGGTAATCTCCCGCACACCCAGGACAAACTTGATTCTCTCCCTCCCAGGCTTCCAGCTCACCCCTCAGCTCTCCAGCCGAAGGCCCTTTGTGACCGCATCCCTGCTGTCTCCTCCAGCCTCCTGTCTCCCTAAAAAGCCCTCTCCAGGAACTAGCCTGGCTCACTCTGGCCACAGGGCCTCCCACAGATGACTTTCCCAGCCAGGACCACTCTGCTCCATAAGTGAACCCTTCTGATGAGCCGTTGCTCATCCTTCAAGTGCCATGAGATGGCACCTCTTTCCAAAGCATCCCCCGACATCTCTCCCCTGTCACCCCAAACGCTACCTGCACCGTCCCAGCCCTGATCCCCACACGTAGTTGCCATCTGTGCTTCTGCAGGCTCCCAGCTCCCGACACAGAGCCAATGCTTAGTAAACACGGATGGAGGACAGAGGGAAGGAGGGAGGGATCCAGGGAGGTAGGGTAGAAGGGGCAGGGAAGGGAGGGAAGGAGGGAGGGAGGGGGCAGGAGAGAGAAGGAGGAAAGGAAGGGAGGAAGGGAAGAAATCTTCAAAAGCCCCTGAGTACTTGAGGCCCATAGGCTGAGAACACCCTTTTCCCGGGGTGCAGGCAGCAAGAAAAGAGCACAGGTTTGGAGTAATACAAGCTCGGGGAAGAACTCTGAATCTAATGCTTACTGACTGTGACACTGGACAAATTACATAAGCTCTCTAAGCCTCAGTTTCCTTATCTGTAAAACGGGAATGATAAAGCCTACACTTGTAGTTGTTTTCGAGTCCTTAACAAAATGATACGCGCAGAGCCCCCAGCAAAGTCCTCTGGCCTTCTTTCCTAGGGGCTTGAGAGAGTCTCCAGAGCCTGAACTGAAATCCTGTGTCCTAGTTAGAAACCCTTCAGCGGCATCCTCTTGCTGGGAAACCCACTGAAGTTCTCACCGAGGACCCTCCCTTGGGGAGAGGGAGGGAGGCACAGGGAACTAGCAGGAAGGGACCACCAGGAGGAGAAGAGGAAAGGAGAGAAGAGCTTGGCTTTCTGTGAGTTTCTCTCAAAGGGAGAGTCTGGGGTCCGTGACCACCTCCTGATTCGCTCACTCATTCAGTACACACACATTGAGGCCCTACTGTGTGCCAGGCACTGCGCCAGGTGCCAGGGCGACAGTGAACAGGTGGACACAACCCCTGGGCCCCAGAAGATTCTAGTTGGAAAAGACATGTAAATGAATGAATGAATGAATGAATGAAGTGGTGGATGAGACAATGGGACATGCTGATGAGTGCAGGCAAAAGAGTTGGGCTTTATTGCTCCCCTGGGCAGAGCCATCATGGTGGGCCTCTCTGAGGATGTGGCCTTTGAGCTAACCAACACCTGGACTTGAAGATCAGTGTCCCACAGCCTGGGTGTGTTGAGGGATGGGGCAGAATCACAGCTATAGGGACTCTAGACACGATCTGGTCCAAACCCCACTTTATAGAAAAGGAAATCCAGGTGCAGAGAAAGGAGGAAGTTGCCAGGGTGGCCAGAGGGATAGATGTTGGGCCTGATCTCCTGACTCCCAGCCCAAAGACAAGCCCTCCAGCTGCTGCTTCTTTCTCTGTCTATTTTAGGCGGCTCCCGTTCCCCTTGGGCCAGAGCCTGCTGCCCCTGCCATGCCCCATGCATCCAAAGGCCATCTTCCTGTCTGTCCATCTGACTGTCTATCAGCCTCTTGCGGTCTTTCCTCACCTCCCGACTATATCTTTGGCTTCTTCATCCTTCTCCTGCTCCTGTTCTAACGCTGGAAGGAGTTTCAAGGCTCCACCAAACCAACCAACACATCAAGAGGGAGGGGAGATCTCAGTTCCCTCCTGAGGCTCCCCGGAACCCTGCCCCACCCCACCCCCACCCCAGAGAGCTTGGAGTCTTGGGGCTGGATGGCACTCCTTCACATCTAGCTTCCCAATGCCCTTTCCCCAGGCCCCAGGGCTCCACCACTGATCCCAGGCAGGCCGTCCCTCCTTGGCGGCCCTCCCCTAGAATGTCCTACCCCACACACACACATCTCTTCTTCCCAGAAGACACCCCTACCTCCGCCTCCACCCAGGCCTTTCCTCCAGTGCAGCCAGGCCTGGTGGAAAAAAAAAAAAAAAACACACACACACAACAAAAACGAAAAACACTGGACTGAGAGTCAGCAGCTGCCCCCTCTGGCTTCCCAAGCACTTCCTGAAGTCCAACCCACCTCTCCTGCCACAGAAAAAGTCCATTTTTTCCTGGCTGAGTCTCTGGCAAAGCCCAGAAGACAGGGTGTCCTCAACTTAGAGTTTTGATTCAAGTCTCTGCCTGCCTTTCTCTTTCTGGCCTCCCCAGGCGTCTACTACCCCAACCCGACTCTGAAGAGGCAGCTTTCAGCCAGGCCCCAGGCTTGCCATCTCCCCCCACCCCCCAGCACAGGCTCCTTATCTCCCAATTCCCTTTCCCCAAACCTCTCTGTGATTCTCCCAACTCAGCCAGGGGTCCAGAGCCCTCCCTCATCATCCTAGTCACATGCTGAGTTCAGAAGGTCTTACCAAGTTTGGGGTTGCAGAGGACCTCAAAAACTGACCTGGCCAACCTCTCCTTTTTATATAGATTTTTTCAATTGCCAGTTACCCACATATATCATAACAAATCTGAAAAGGAAAGACAATCCTTAATAGGAAAAAAAAAGAATCTTTCATTATCCCACCAAGAGTCAAAGATTTTGCTCACAGCTCACTTTAGAAGTGGCGAAATAGGCCCAGAGAAGGAAGTAACTTGCTCAAGGTCACACAGCAAGTGAGATGTGGGGACAAGAAGCCAAGTCTCCGGCCCTTCTCTGTGTGGTCTCCCTGAAAACTGGTGCTTCTGTACCACCGGCCTTTTGCCACACCAACTTCCACTGCTCTCTGCCTGCATTTCCACCACCATCACCCTTCCCCACCCTCCTTCTCCACAGGGACCCAGGCCTGTCTCGTCTACACACAAGTCCGTTGAAGTCAAGAACACAGTCACAGATGCTGTGCCTGGGGCTAGCATACCCCAGAAACACAGCAGCCCAGCTGCAGCATCTCCCAGGACAAGCCCATGACCCTGTTCCATCCCATTTAAGGGACACCTATGTCCCCAAGGCATAAAGTTCTATCTCCTCAATTCTTGCTGTCAAGAGGCTAGACTGCAAATTACCCACCTCCCAACCCCAGAGAAGTCTGGGGGCCTGAGGAGATAGGAAGGTAATATAAAATTACATGCTGAACAATGTTTTTTTTTATAATACGAGAGACTCAAGGTAGACCTCAGAAAGGACTTCCAGGTGGGAGAGATGATTGTGGAGAACTAGTGTAGGGAAGAGGAGTGTGCCAAGAGGACCCCCTGCTCCCCCCCATCCAGAGCCAGAGCAGCTGATGGCCAAAGGCCACCAGGACAGCAGAGTAGGAGTGACAGGAGGGTCCTGGAGACTGGGAAATGGGGGAGCAGCAGGTTGCTTCTTCCTGAGCCCCAGAGGGTTCTCCAGGCTCCAAACACGGAGAGGAAGGCGGTGGGACAGGCTGCTACAGAGCTTCCTCTAGGAGAGATGCTGGGTCTCCACCATCCCTCTGGCTGCTCCCACCCAGCCCCCAAATGTGAAATGGATTCAGACCTAACCTGGGTCAGCTTGGGGCTGGGGTGGGACCTGGGGGGTGGGAAGAGAAGGAGGTGGCAAAACTGGGGCAGGAGGCACCCCAGACTCTCCGTCTCATCAGAATTCAGCTTCCCTCAGTGTGACGAGGGGTCCCTATGACTCCCCTACCGTCCTCTTTGGGGCCAGAGCCCATTGCCTTATGTAGCCCCCTCTACTGGGGTCCCTCTGGTGTCCTTCCAGGAGGGAAGGAGAGGCGAGGGGCATCAGTGTTTGATGCCTCCACCCTCACTCGCACACCCGATGTGTTTAAGAAAGTGGGTCCCCGTCCACCTTTCACAACGCACGGAGCTCCTGGCCCTCCGCGGACAGTCCCCCCACCCACCCGACAACGCGGGCGGGTGGGTACTTGGCCTTGCCCACGCCCGCCTGCCTGCTCCCTCCCCGCCCCCCGCCCACCCCGACCGACTCCGGCCAGTCCTACCTGCTCCGGGCGGGGGGCTCAGCGCCCGGGCAGCCTCCCTGAACACCAGCACCAGGAGCCAGAGCTCTGCCCGCATGGTGGGTGCCAGGACCCGCCCCCGGCCCGCTGCAGGCCGCGGCCCCGGACGAGGGAGGGGCCGGGCTCAGGCGGCGCAGTCCCCGGGGCTGGCGCGCCGAGGGGTGGGCGGCGAGGAGGCGGCGGAGCGCGGGGCCCGGCGGGGCGGCGGGAGAGGTGCGGGCGCGGGCAGGCGGCGAGCGAGCAGAGCGGCGGCCTCCCGGAGCGCGGACGGGGAGGGGGCGGGGCGGGGGGGCGCGGCGCCTCCCGAGCGCTCCCAGAGTCTTCCCAGGTCCTCCCAGCCCTCCCGGAGCGCTCCCACCGCGGAATTGGAGGGGGGTGACTGGGGGCGGAGTAGGGGACAGGGCGGGGGACCCTGGGCTGGGAGAAGCGGCCCCCCACCCCGCACCTTAGCTCCTGCCTCCCTTCCCCTCCTCAGCCCCCCTCCCCGCGGAAAGCCGCTGAGACAAGACCGTGGAGGGGTGGGGTGTGCACACCCCAGGAAGGGACAGGCGCCCCTTTCCTCCGGCGGTGCACTCTTGCCATACGCACCCCCTCCTCCAGCTCTACCAGGCTTTCCGACTTTCTGGGCTGTTCCTCAGAGTTCTGTGGGTTTCTGATGCCCATCCCCACCCCAGGAATCTCCCCTTGCAGCACAGACCACCCCCGCCCCAGCTTCTCTCGCCAACAGAGGCCTGAATGCCACTCCCCTCCCCGGAGCTTCTCTCCCTTTTCCCCATCACCGGCCCCCGCCCAAGTTACCAGCACCGTCTTTCCCATCAGCCTGGTGGACACCGTGGTAGAGGGCAGCCCGGACCTCCCCTTAACCCCAGAAGGTAACCGAGGCCACCTTTCTCTCTGGGGACCCCAGGCCTGTTCAGGGTCCCAGTCAATGCTCAAAGCCAGTCTATCCCCCTCCCCCCAGCACGAAGACATCTCACCCCACCTGCCACCACCTTATGACAGACTCTGGGGAATAGATCACCTTTTTTTTCCCCTTTTCTTTCAGGACAGAATAAAAATACCCGCAATTTAGGAGATTTAATAGACGGCAGGGAATCAGGTCAGGACACGAAGGTGCTGATTCCCTCCCCTGACCTACTTCGTGCGGTGGCGAGGAGCTGGAGCACTCGAGGGTGGGAGGATGAGGGGCACCTGGTTTCTCACGGGGCTGGGGCCTAGGGACTGGACAGTCGCGGACAGGTAGGGGATGGACACGGAGAGCTCTTGAGGGAATTCCCCAGGAAGAGGGATACGCGCGGGAACAGAAGAAGTGTGGGCTGGAAGAGGGGGGGGTTCCCTGACACTGAGGCCAAAGACAGGAACTGAGAAGGGAAACAAGAACCAAAGCCCCCTAATCTCTCAGAATCCCAGTTCCTTCTTCCTCTGGATGCAGAGTCCCAGAAACGACCTCCTCCAGCCCTAAACGCTAATCCTTTACGATAGGACAAGGCAAGGCCTGACTGTAAGTTCTTCTTGTTGTCTAATTCAAATCCCGACTCTCAAACCGGAATAGGCCGCCGCTTCCAGTTGCGGCTTCTTGCTGCCCTCTAGCGGTCAAGTGGGGAGCCGCGGTCTGTTTTACACGGTCTCTTTAAAGGCTCGGATTGAAAACAGCAGCTTGGAAATAATCCCAAGCAAGAGACGCGTAAATTTTTTTAAACGTAAGCCTCTGGAATTTGCGCACCCATCAGAATCACTGGAGGGATTATTAAAAATACAAATTTCTGAGCGCCACCCTCAGGTTTCTAATTCAATAGTTCCGGGAAGCCGAAAATCTGCATTTCTGACACATTCCCAGGTGGTGGTGCTAGTCCGGGGACCACATTTTAAGATCCATCGCTTGAGAATTCTCGCTTCTTGCACTGTCTCGCGTCTTTCCTGCACCAATTGTGGTCTGCTCAAAAGAGAGATGGCGAAGGCAATGTCAACATAAAGTGGAGAAGGGAGAAAATGACACATGGAGACACGGACCTTTGTGGCCCAGTGAAAACGAATGTGCAGGGGGCACCCGGATTTGAACCGGGGACCTCTTGATCTGCAGTCAAATGCTCTACCACTGAGCTATACCCCCTCTGCTGACGTTAGGGCGCAGTAACCTCTTAGTCCTATGACTGCGCAGGCGCTGTGATGAGCTCGTGAAAAGAAGTTGTGTCCAATGTTTACAAAAGTTGGAAATAATATAATCTCAAAAAGATTACTCGCCTGAACGCAGAACTTGTTTCCCGAAGTTCTGAGCTCAAGATTTCTACTGAATGATGTAAGCAAAATGGAGTTTGGAAATGCGAGGGGAGATCCCTCGAGATCCTTCGTTTCGGGGACATTCCCTGCGCCAAGGTCCCCCTGTCCTGCCCTGTCGGAGCCCCTTTATTGCCTCTTGGCTCCCCTCTCTCCGTCCTGCACGCTCGGGCAGGGTTCTCTGGGTCTCCTTTCCCCAGCCCAAGCCAGGACCTTAGGTCCTGGGCCTCTCTCCCCGGGCAGAGCCGTTGGGGTCGCTGGCCAGGCCTCCCTGATAGTGCGCTGGCCTCCGCCCTAGCACTTCGGAAGTGCGCAGTCTGGGCTGTCCACCTAGGGTTAACCAGCAGCTTCTCGCCCTCTCACTGCATCCCACCCACAGACGCACGCGCGGGCTGAGCGCACGGATCTGCTCGTCGCCTGCCTGCAAAAGGGGGTGGCAGGGCCCGACATCGCATATCGCATCCCCTCTCCCCTGCCAGGGCACTTTGAGAGTGGACTAGTGGATAAGAAAACACGAAAAATCTGGCGCAGAGAGGGGGCACCCGGATTTGAACCGGGGACCTCTTGATCTGCAGTCAAATGCTCTACCACTGAGCTATACCCCCACCGTACTGGTCGCTCTTTACTGGAATAGGTTTCTGTAGTATAAGGAGAATATTGTTTCAGTCCGACAGCTGTGTCAAAGTGACCTCATGAAAAGAACAGATTGTGGACTAAATGGAGATAGCTAGAATTGCTGAGTTCTTTTTCCACCATTACACCTCAGGAAACCATAGGATTAAGGACTCCTGGACCTTCTATAATTGTGTCCAGACTGTCCCCAAGATGTCCAGTGCTGACTTGGGAAGGAGAGAAACCCATGGACTCCAGAACCATCTCAGGTCTTATGGCGTAAAAGCAGGGCTCCCTGTGTTCAGATGGACGGCGTGGGTTTCCATCCTGTCTCCAGCTCTACCTCGAGAGGACTCCTGGGCTTCTCCAAACCCCAAGGGCCCCTCCTCCCCTCCTCCACGAGTCAGCATCAAGCCACGCCCACCCCTAGATCCAGGTAGAGCCGAAAGCTCCCAGTCCCAGCAAGCCAGGAGTCAGTTACCTGGCAGAGGGTGGGAGAGACCAGGACCAAAGAACCAGCCAGTCCCCTAGCCCAGTGGACCCTTGAGGCAGTACCCCCTCCATTTCCCAGGAGAATTTCCACAGACCTGATGACTTGTACAAAAAACAAAAGCCAGTTTGAAGCACAGGTAGCAGAAATAAGAAGTGAGCAGTCTTCAACAGCATTTATTACTCTTTTATAAAAATTCTAAAACAACTAAAAAATCGTTACAAAAGACAGCCAAGATAGGCACGCTGTAGGAATTGGAGACATCTGGGAGGCGTGGGATTCATACTGGAAGGACTGGAGGGCAAAGGATGGGATGGCTTAACTCTCAAAAGCTGTGGTCCGGGCCAGCATCTCAGAGGGAAGGGAAAGGCATGGGAGGAGTGGAACTCCCCGCAGTGCAAGGGACTGTCCCCGTCTGGGATGTCCCGTCCTTCTTCCTCTCCCTTCCCACCAGTTTTTGGCTCTGTCCTCCTTCCCCTGCACCTGCCCCCTTTGCCTTTCTGGAATCTCCTTTGCTCAAAGATGGCAAAGGGGCCAGAAAACTGGGGTGGCAATCGAGGGATAGGAGGTGGGGTTCTAGGAAATAAAGAGCATTTCCAGGGGTCTCCTACTTTATCCCCCATTTTTTTCCCCTCAAAGACGTTGCAGGCTGAGGGGACGGGGCTCCACTTCCCAGTCCCTCAACACACCTAACGACTTGCCTGTGCCTCCAAAGACACATGCTTCCCCAGGGTGAAGGGCAGCTCTTCTGCTGTCTTGTCTGCAGCAGGTCGGCAGGCAGTCTAGCCCTTCGGTGGCGGGATTAGGTCGGGTGGACTTCAGCAATCTCACTGTCCATAGCTGACCCAGCTCCCATCAGAGAACCCCAGAAAATAATCGTCACTTGTGTTTTCCACCCAAACAGTCCAAGCAAAACCCCCCAGAGTTTCTGGTCGGCCTCAGGTCAGGACATCAGTTGGCAGTGGCCCGAGACTGCATCCACTGGAGCCCTGCGGGCAGCCTGCAGGGAAGATGGAAGAGTATATCCCATGGATCGGTATATCCCATGAGGATGATGGCCTCCAAGTCGCCAGCCCCAACCCAGAGCCAGTGGATTAGATGTAATAACCAAAGTTAAATCCCTTCTCTCCATCAACAAGTATAAACGGATTGAGTACCCACTGCACATCAGGTCCTGGGCTAGGGGCCGGGGTTACTGGTGAAAACACAGACATGCCCTCTGGGGCCTACAGTCTAGCAGAGGAGGTGAATGTGGATTGGAGGAGGGAATGGCAAGGACACTACCAGAAATGTGTGGTTCCTTGGACCGACCTCCCTCCAGCCTCCAGACACCTGGGTCCCCAGCCTGCTGTGATCCCACTCGAGAAAGAGGAAAGAGAACTTTCCAAGACTGATGAGAAGCCCTTCCTATGTGACCTTCACATCCTTTGCAACATTTGCCCACATACTTTCAATCTCCCTTTCCCACTTGATCTTTTCCAAACACTTGCCACTTATAATTACTATAGCTTTTTCTTAATTTTATTGTTTATTGTCGGCTCTCTCCCACCAGAATGTACGCCCCATGAGGGGTGGGGTTTTGTGTTTTGTTTGCTGCTCTTTCTCTGGTGCCTAGAAAAGTGCCTGGCCCAGAGTCAGTGCTCGATAAATGTTGAATGAATGACACCATTTGCTCTCTACAGAAACCCTAAGAGAGAGACAGTACAATCGCCCTCCTCTTTACAGATAAGAAAACTCAAGGTCAGAAAGAGTCAATGACTCATGTCTGGAGGGCTTGGCCCCCAGGTTTTCCTATGGCTTTCTCCTCTCCCTTCAGGTCTCAGCCCAAAAGTCACCTCCTAGTAGTGGTTGTCCCTGCCCACCACAGCTAACTCAGACCAGTTGTTGTCCCCTCCATCACTGTTAATCCAATTTCATTCTCTGCATGGCACTTCTCAGTATCTGAAATGTTTGTGCTTAGGTGGAGGGTCACCCCTTTCCCCACTAGAATAAGCTTCCCAAGAGCAGGCACTGTGCCCCGGCTCACTGCTTGCCCACATCTCAGCTGTGGGTGGATGCGCGCCTGTGAGCCAGATTCTGACAGGGGAGAAACAGGAGAAGGTTCTGATGGTCAGCATTCATTGACTGGGCCAGACCCTGGACGTCCAGGTGGGGAGCCACTAACCCTTCCCCGGTGAGGGCACAGCAGCCCTGGATATGCCACGGGTGGTCTTTGATGGCGGTCAGAGTGAGGAACTGAGAGATCTCCACGGTGGTCATGGAGTTCTTCATATCCTGCTTGTTGGCAAAGATTAGGACGGAAGCATCTCGCAGAGCCTGTGGACAGAGGAGCCCAGCCCCAGTCAGCCTGCCAGGGCCTAGCTTCCCATCCCCCTGCCCCCTAAGTCCTCCCTAGTCCCCTGCTGTCCCTGCAGGAGAAGCCCATGCCCCGTGGTACCCGATGTGGGGCAACCACACCCGCGGACACCGACAGCTCGCAGATTGCCTGCCCCCCAGCTCTGTGATCCTTACGACAGTCCCATGGGGCAGGAATCTGGTGATCCTCCCCATTTTGTATTTGGAAAAACTGAGAGAAGTGAAGTGACTTGTCTGAGGGGAGGAAGTCCCACGGTGAGTGAGAAGGGGGATCACGACCTGGACCAGTAGCTCTGGCTTCTGCGATCCTTCATCTGGGAGAAATTAGCCCTGTCCAGACAGCTGGGGTAGCGGCTCTCAGACACGGGGGACTCAGGAACGAAGCTCAGAGAGGCTAAGTGAGTAGGCTGAGGTCCCACGGCTAGTCCCCCCGGGGCCCTCTCCCAACCTCGAGAGCCTTACCTCGTGGGCCAGCATCTTATACAGCTCCTCCCGAGTGGTCAGCAGCCGGTCCCGGTCCGTGCTGTCAATCACGAGGATGACGAACTGGCCAGCAGAGGGCAGCGGTGAGTCGTGGGCTTTTCCCGCAGGAACGTGTCTCCCGCCCACTGTGCTCCCCACCCAGCCTCTGCACCGCCCTGATGTTAGCCCCACAGAGAACTGGTCTGTTCTCAAGCTCTCACTGCCCTCAAGTCCCGTTTTCATTCCCTTTTCCATCCAGACGGTGGGGGAACACAGCACGACTCGGATTGCGTGCCAGAGGCGATGCTATGCCGTGGGCATTGGGGTCAGCATTCGGGTCCCAGCACAGCCCTGTGCCCCTGGACCAGGCTTAGCACCATTTACAAATGAGATGAGCTCAGCGAGATGGCAGATCTTGCCCTAGGACACACAGCTGGTGAGTGGCGGTGCTGGAATTCGCACTCAGTCTCACTCTGAGAAGCAAACCACCGAATCCACGGCTGCCAGAGTGAGAAAGGAAGGCCCCCCTGAGACCAAGGGCCTACGCCACGCAGGGCATCACACAGAAAGCTGCCAGCAAGCAAAGCTGACAAGAGGTATTCACAAATTTTAACAAAACACTGCTACATTAAGGATTTGAAACACATGTGTTAGCAGTTTTGTTTTGTTTTAATTTTAACAGCCATTGGGGCAATCATTATTACAATCTCCACCTCACAGATTCGGGTAACGAAGGCTCAGAGAGGGGAAGTGACAGGCTCAAGTCACACAGCAAGCAGCCTTCCAGGCCCCTGCAGCCCCAGCATGCCGCTCACCTCGGTGTTGGAGTAGTAAGCACTCCAGGTGGAGCGGAGAGCCTCTTGCCCCCCTATGTCCCATACGAGGAAGTGAGTCTTCCGCAGAACGATCTCCTCCACGTTGCTACCGATGGTGGGAGATGTGTGGACCACCTCATTCATCAGGCTGGGGAGGGAGGAGAGACCACCAAGAGCTCAGCCCCTTCTGCTCCCAGCTCTGGGTCCCCCAGCCCTCGGCTCTCGAGTCAGGCTAGATCTAACTCAGAACAACTCGGCCCAGGGTGGCCAAGCCTCTGGTCACAGGGGAGTGCAGGCGGGAGTGGGACTGAGCCTTGTCCTGGCGCGGACCCCAGAGATGGGAGTCATATTAGAGCCATGTCCCCAAACAGCAATATGCAGCTGGATCACCTGGGAGTCTTGTTAAAATGCAGAGAGAACACACACATTTTTATATGTAGAGGGCATCTCTGGAAGATCTGGGAGTCTGGGCTGATTGGGAAACTTACTTTTCACTCTGCGTGCTTGTAATGTTCGATGCTCTCTTTTCTTCTGGTTTAAGATAAACATTTGCATGTATTTCTTTTTCAGGGGAAAATTTTCCTAAGTAAATACTCTGGAGGTTCCAAAGGGGGAGAGATGCCATCCACAGAGTGGATATTGGGAAGAGCTCCGATGGATAATTACTCAGCACACGTGCCAGACCCTTCTAGATGGGGAGCTACGGAGCTCACCCTGACTCAAAACTGGCCCTCCCCTTTGGGTTTGAAGAAGGGGAGAAAGTTAAGAGGCAAAGGTAGGGTGCAGGAGTTAAAAGGTGGGACCCACCGCTAGGGGGAGCGAAGAGCAGGGAGGCAGGAAGTCAGTTTCTGACAGCCTCTGGCCTGCAACCAAGTTTGGTAGGGGCAAGGGGTGGGGATGGTGGGGACCACTGGGGTCGCCCATACCGGGCAAGATTCGAATGCCAGGCGAGCGGCCACAGAACTGAAGGGTCACCATGCCGGGAAGATCTCATAACTTCCCCCCCACGATCACTCCTCCTGGCTACTGGAAAACCTGGGAACCCAGGGAAGAGTGATTGGTCCAAATGTCTGTCAGTCTGGTGGAAAGAGCCAAGCCCCACCTCTTTCCACCCGAGAGTCACTTACAACTGGTAGAGAATGGTGGTCTTTCCCGCGTTGTCCAGTCCCACGATGATAACCTTGTGCTCTGGAGGCATCCGGGGGTGGGGGTGGGAGGGCAAGGTCAGGGCCAAACTCAGTAACCAAGGGTACTGAGTGCCCCACCGGGGTTCCCAAGAAGGAGACGAGTGTTTCCAGCGAGCTGGGAGACCTCTGCTCACTGTACCATTTCTGCTTCCCTGCACCCCTCCCCGACCAAAACCCAGCAGGACAGGTTTCCTCCCCGACCCCGGACACCAGCGGCACTCCCGGACAGTGGAAATGATTGCTGAGCCTTCCTCGCTCCACATTTCCAGAAAAGCGGTTGTCCGAAAGGTCCGGGGCGCCTTGGGCTGGCCAAGAGAAGGGGTCTGGAGAAAGAGCCACGATCTCAGGAAACCCGCGGCCCCTTTTAGCCAGGAGGACGGAGGCTCGCGGAGCCCTGCGCCCCGGTGTGCACCGAAGCGCGCCACCCGCGAGGAGCAGGAGGGGAGGGGGCGGAAAGGGGCTATGGAAGGGGGTTAGGGGAGACCCCGGAGCTTGCAAGGAGCACCCACGCAGGATCTTCGGAGCCCGAGGTCCCCCAGCGCATCCGCCCCGACCCCGGATTCGGGGAGCCCCGGGTGGGAGCCGAATCAAAGCAGTCGCTTGAATGCGCTGTGCGCCCTTTACCCTGGTTCCCGAAGACGCCCATCAACTTGGCGATCAGTTGTCCCATGGCGCTTCCCGGGCTAGGGAGGGGCAAGACTCAGCGACCTTCGGGGGCCCGGGTCGAGCCAGGGTGCTTAGAACCCCGCCCCCGGGGAGGGCCGAGCGAGTTTTGCCTATGAGGTCACGGAAGCCCGACGAGCCACCTGCGGGACCCGGGAATCCCCTGGGACACTGGCCCCTCGCGGGTGCTATGAACGTCACAACGACAGCGAACAGGCTACTTGTCTAGAGCCCTGGAGGTGCAAGGAAAATGGGGTCCAGACTCCACATCCCAGCCCCCTTTGCCCTGAGAAAACTCTAGAGGTTCTCTGGGTGACCTGCTCCCTGACTGCATCAAGGAGGCCCAGCACAGTGACCCACTACCAGGTCCCAGCTGTCCCTTCTCCAAGTGTCATGTCTGAGCACTAGACTGAAGCAAAACCCTCCGTTCTGCACCTGCCGGCTGTGTGGAGCAGAGGGGTCACTGATCCTCTCTGCTGGGAGAATATTCCAGCCCTAGTTGGATCTCCAGCAGTTTCACTAGAGATTTCACTACGGCTCTTGCAGACCCACACAAAGTGAGTTCCCTTAGGGAAGGGCGGGGTCTCCCTCCCTTTTGGAGGTCCCTTGGTGATAGGCAACTTCTAGGAATAAATCCCTACGGCTTCTACAATTCATTGGCAAACCACTGCTCAGGCACAGCTGCCAGATCTGGGGGATGGATATCTGAGGATAGGGACAGAGCAACAAGAGAGATCTTGCAGCTAGAGACCCTACAGAGGGGTACCAGATGCCGAGAGCCAGCAGGAGAGAGCCCGAGCCAAGAAGAGCAGTGCTGGAGGTGGAAAAAGGACGAGGGGACTCTTTTAGTTGTGAATTTCCTTCTTTGCTTAAACTGGGAAAAACCAGAAAACAAAAAGAGAAGTGGGAAGGCAAACCCACCTCAGGCTGAGGGGACAGTTAGGAGAGGTCAGTTATCACACAGGAGAATCAACTCCCTCCGCCCCCACACTGCCATGGTCCTCCCGCAGCGCATTAGTGCTCCCCTCCACTAAGGGGAAAACCTCTGATTGTCTCCCTTCCTCTGCCTCCCCCTGACTCAGCACAGCCCTATTCACTGACATAAAGCCCAGCCCAGAGCCTGGCACTCCACAGCTCATAAACCTTCAGTGAGTCCCTAGTGCCCACTGGATTTAGATCAGCCACATCACCTGACATTCACAAGTCTCCATGAACAGCCCTCACTTGCAGGTGATCTCCCACCTTCTACGTCCACTGGTCCTTGCCCACACACGCCCAGCTCCTTCCGTCATGCTTTTGCTTCTGTGTTTCCTCCACCTGAATGTCTTTCACCTTCTCAGAAATGTGGAGTCTTAAAAGCCTTTAGCCGCCTGCCATAGAAACCACCAACTTCCCAAGCCCTGGCCTGGTTCTCCAGACAAATGGGGCTTCTCTCTACCCTGACACTGGAGACTGGCCTGTTTCCGCCAATCAGCCCTGAGGCCAGGAGGGTGGGGTTCGCGTCTTGCTCAACTTTGTTCTCCGCCCACTCCCCTCCCGGCCTGGTCCAGTGCCTGGGACCGTGTTGCTACTGGAGTGTAGTACAATGAGTTATGCTAGAGCCTGAGAGATGGTGTTTCAAGCATTAAAGAAGTATGAGCACAAGTTGAAGAGGCATGAAGGAGGCTGGGAAGTCTATGGAGAGAGCAGAGGAAAAACAGTCAGCTAAATAAGGAATTCTCACCTCAACCGCCTTGGTGCCTGGAGTTAGAGGGAAGGAGAATTGACTACCAGAGCCCATTTCAGCCCCAGGAAAGAAGGAACGCTAGGTGCAGTAGAATGGGGGTGCAGAGGGTGCTGGGGGAAGCAGCAACACTTTAAGCACTTTAACCATCTGTTTCCTGGGGGGGAAAGGAACCCCTTAGTGCATCCTGCCCCTCCCTCCCAACTACCACCACCAATTGCAGAATTGAAAGTGACATTCTGCTAGCTGGAGCACAGTCCATCAACAGACGAGAGCTGCCTCTGCTGCCAGGCCTAGGGCCTGGGTCTTAGGGAGCATTCATTCATTTATTTGACAAATATTAGTCAGGAGTTAGGAAATGGGCCAAGCAGACAAAACAGACCCGGTCTGGGTCTTTTGGAGCCTTTACCGTTTAGTGCGAGAGAGAAATAAACACCAAAAATAAACATCAAAAAATAAAACCAGAACAAAACTCTGAGAGACAGTATGTAGGAAGACACATTTTCTTGAGGATGTGATTATTGGCGCTAAGACAAGATTTTTCTCTAAGGTACCACCTGGAATACCCATTGCTCCCGGGCCATGGAGGTCCCAGATCAGCTTCTGTGATTTGTTGGAAGGTGGGAAAACCTTTAGCCACACACTGGACTGAGGCCTCTCTGACCTCAGTTCAGAAGCTGGACAGAAGCTACAGGTCAGAGGCACCTGGGTGGCTCAGTTGGTTAAGCAGCTGCCTTCAGCTCAGCTCATGATCTCAGGGTTGTGGGATCGAGCCCTGCATTGGGCTCCCTGCTCAGTGAGGAGTCTGCTTCTCCCTCTGCCCTATCTATGCTTGTGCCTCCTCTCTCTCAAATAAACAAATAAAATCTTAAAAAAAAAAAAAAAGAAGAAGAAGAAGAAGAAGCTGCTACTGGTTCAGTGGTCCCCGACAGGAGGGTTCCCCAGCGCCTCAGTTCCCAACTCCCTGAGGTAGTAGTAACCTCAGTCCCCCAGTCTCTCTAGATCTAATCCCAGTGACTTTATGGTTGTTGAAATCCTCACATGCTGACAACCACCACCGTGCTGAATGAACATCAGTTGAGGGCTTGCGGTTACCAAAAGACAAGAATCTCTCTTTCTTCATCTCTCAACATTTCTAAGTCACCTAGAAATGCCCCCGCCTGCCAGTTCCAGGAAAACACAATTTCAGGCAGAAGGCACATGAAGTGGAGACAAACATACTCAGACACCTGCTTCTTCCTCCCCAACCCTCCTCCCCTTGCAAAAGCCAGAGCAGGGGAATCGGCATGAGACTCGGGGCTTACAGGCACCGCAGAACTTGAACTCCAAAGATCTGAGTTCAAGTCCTTGCTCCGTAGCCATGTAACTGTGGGTGTTGCTTAGCCTCACTGAACTTTATCTGTAAACTGAAGTTAATAATTCCTGCCATTGATTCAAAAGATCGGGGTCCACCCCCAGATGGAGCTTTCTGCCATTCCCTGATTCTTCAGGCTAAGCACCCAGCTGCCTTTTGTTCTCCTCTTGGGTGTCCTTCCACAGGCACCATAAGCCTACCTTGTCCAAAGCTTGACATTGTTTCTGCCCCTAACCTGGTTTTTCCTGGCGCCTGGGAGGCTCAGGGGGTTAAAGCCTCTGCCTTTGGCTCAGATCATGATCCCAGGGTCCTGGCAGCGAGTTCTCTGCTCAGCGGGGAGCCTGCTTCCTCCTCTCTCTCTGTCTGCTTTTCTGCCTACTTGTGATCTCCATCTGTCAAATAAATAAATAGAATCTTAAAAAAAAAACAAAAAACACAAAACACCTGGTTTTTCCACCTGCTTCCTCCATGTCCGGGAAGACCATCACCCACAGTTGCCCCCAGACACCTCCCTCTCTCTCACTGGCCACCACCAATTGCTCTCCAAGACCGCTGGATTCTAACTGCTTGCTGTCTCTGGCTGCCACTGCCTCCTTTCCCATCCCATTGCCTTGGCCTAGTGCAGCCCCACCTTGTTTCTTACCCGGAGGACCACAGCTGTGTCCAGGCTAGCCCCTCCAATCTATGCTCCAAACCGCAACCAAGACAACTTTGCCACTGTGCTTACAAGCCTTCAATGTCTGCCCAGTGGCTTCAGGACAAAGCCCAGACTCCCATCACATGACTCAAGGTCCCCTATGATCTGCTCCTGCTGACCCTTCTCTTTCCACCACCTTGAGAACACACTTTGCTGGTGAAGTACCAGGAACATGCATGTCACCTGCTTCCTCTGCCTTGAACACTTACTCCCCCCGCCACCACCAGGTTAACTCTTAACCAGGCTTCTAGACTTCTCTGAAGCCTCACCTCCTCTGAGAAGCCTCTCCTGACCTCCCCAGACTAAAGGAATTTCCCTTCTACCAGGTTCCTGCAGAACCCAGTGCTTCTCCCAGCAGAGAGCTCACAGTGCTGTCCTGAATGGTCTGTGGCTCCCTTTTAGACTTGTGCCTGGTACACAGTAGGTACTCAATTAAAGTTCAGTGAGTAAACACGGGAATAAAGGATTGACTCCTTTGAAAGGCAGTGGGGTAAGAACACTAGGCTGGGAGGCAGAGACTGGACTCCAATCCCAGCAGTCTTTGCCATCAACTCCCTGGGATCTTGGGCCAGCCACCTGACCTGCGGACCTGCCCAGTTCCTTTCCTTGGGTCTGCTAACCTTTCAACTGGAAGGTCTAGATGGCTGCTGCCCTCTACACTCCCCCACCCCCCGCCACATGCACTTAGGGCAATAACATACAGGTGAGGGACCCAGGAACTCTAGTCCTCCAGGTTCCCCACCCCAGAAACAAAGAGAGTGGAGAAATGGTTTGAGTGCCACGTCAGGCAGGATACACGGGCCAGCGGTGACAATAGTCTGGGGTCCACATCCTGCCAGCTGGTGATGACAGAACTGACATAAACACCTGCTGACTTTCTCACTCGATGTTATCGGGCTGGGGCTGGGGTGGCCCCCATTCTCTGCCCCCCAAAGTAGACCTCTTTCATCCCCCAAAGCTGGTCAGCCGGGGCATCAGTGGAGAAGGGCACCAGACGGAACTCAGTCACTCTCAGGAGGTGCTGGTTGGCAGCTGAGCCCACAGGAGCAGAAAAACTGGATCTCATCCACTGAGTAACGCCTGTGACACCCCACTTCACCTCAGTCTCCCATTTTCCCAGGCTTTACTTATGGGGAAACGGGTAAGACTTGAGGCTGATGGGAAGCTGTGGCTGAAACTGGCCACATAGCTCCCATCAGCCTTGACTGTGATGCTTGAGAGAGCTGCAAAACAAAGCACTCTATCCTGTTGAATAACCAGCTCGGGGCCTGGCTTCCTCTCTCACCCGCCCCTTCACACTCCCCTGCATGCAGCTCCCACGGGGGCCAGGCTTGCTGCATGGCAGGAATGAAGAACCAGTCTCAGGAGGCAGCTGCAAAGGACATGATGGCGGTTTTATATGTGGCCAAATACTTCTAGGGGAGTACAGATAGACAGACAGACAGATGGGGGCACAGGACACCAGACAGAGAGGGAGGAAGGTTGGGCAGTGGTGTCTTCTAACCAGTGAGTGGAAGCTGCACCCCACCCCCAGTGGGGGGGTGGGACAACATTGGCACAGGAGGTGGTGAGACAGGCATAAGGGGCCCATCCCTGAGGCGGGCAGCCGGGCAGGGCCCAGTCCTCGTTGGCACAATCGGCTCTCTCTGGCCCAGCTGGGTGCTGGCGAGGGGCAGGGCTGCTGGGCTGGAGGGATGCTAGGCTGAGGAACACTCGGGGGGCTGGGGGGGTACCAAGGCCTCTCCTGGGGGGAGTGGACATGGGTATAGGACAAGATCACAAGAGGCAAATAGAACAGCAGCAGCAGCCAAGCCCCCCAGGGGAGATCCGAGGTCCCGAGATGACCCCTGGGGTGGTGATCACCTCTTGGGCACCAACCTGCAGGGCCTCTCCCCTGGGGCCTCCGGGTGATAGTGAAGGAGCAGTTTTTTGGTTTCAAAATGAGGCGGACTAGTGTTCCACGGGTGTCATACCCAGATGAAACGGGGTGGGGGGCTCAGACACAGAGGGGCCCCCTCTTCTGATGGCAGTAGGCAAGGGAGGTTGTAGGCAAAGCTCATTCCTGGGGTGGGCAAAGGCCGAGGCATGGATGTGGAGGGGTGGGTAACAGGGTCTCTGGCTGCCCGCTCTTCAGGGATCCGGGTCGGGCTCCGGCAGAGGCCAGGACATTTGATGCCTGCCACTCTACCCAGACCACTCCCCAAGACAAGCTCCCGATGGGGCTTCCATTCTCTACCTTTCACCCACCAGACAATGGTGCCAGGAAGCTGGGAGAGAAGTGGGCACGGGGAGGGACCCTGGATCTGGGGTTTGGGGAAGACAGCCCTCATGGGAAGGAGTCTACGCTCTCCCTCTCCAGGAAAAGCCCCCTCAATCTTCCCAAATACTCCAGGTTGGGGAAAGAAAGGGCTACCCCATTTAGGACCCCTATATAGAGCCCCAAGTAGAAAGAGTTAAGGAAGTGCACCTTTTCTCTGGGAGTGAGGGGAGAGAGCCCCCTGAAGCGGGGGAAAGGGGACACTGCAGAAACGTGGGCATCCCCCCATCCATCCACACCAGGTAGGTGAAAACCTACAGCCAGGCTTTAAGGGACTCCCGGGAGCTAGGATGCTACCACGAAAGAAACCCCAGACATCCGGTGAAGGCATCTGAGAGGGAGACAGCACCCCCTGGAGGAAAGATACACCCCCGGTGGTGAGCCCCTCCGTCCCTTACCTCCCAGGGCTCAGAGCCCTTCCCCACCCCCCACTGCGTGGCCTCTGTTTCTCAGCGGATGTAGACACCTCGCCCCCAGCCTTCCAGCTCATTCTTGTTGCGCCCCAAAACGGGACCCCCACCCTCGGCGCAGTAGCGGGCCTTATTCCGGCCGCGGTTCCGGTTGTCGGTCAGCTCGTCTTCATAGTCTTCTTCCTCATCTTCCCAGGATCCCTGCCGGGCCGGTGGGGTGCTGCCCCCTGCAGGGTCTCCGAGCCCTGGCCCCTCTGAAGGGTCCGTTTCCATGTCCACACATGAGTCTCCCAGCTCCGTGTAGGCAGAGTTTCGGTTGCCAGGAGTGTCGGCATCAAATGTGTCTTGGCGAGACAGTGCCCGCAGAGTGCCTGCCCGGCCAGGTGGGTGGCTGCTGGGGTAAAGGCCTGGGGGCTGGCCCAGCTCCCCGGGGTACTCGTGCACGCTGGCGTGCTCCCCGGTGGCCCGCTCCAGCGACTGGTCCCCGGAAGGAAGGTAGGGTCCCTGGTTAGCAGACGGACAGCACACACCATGCAGATCAGGCAGGGGTGAGAGAGACACAACAAAGCAAGGCAGGTTAGTGATGGCACCAAGACATCCAGCCTGGCTAAAGGGGGTGGGCAGCTGGGCAAAGGGCTCTGCAGCCCAGCCAGAGGACAGACCTCAGGGCCTTTGCTCCTGTATTGGGACAGGAGGCACCCAACCTTTGTAAGACATGAGGAGCCATGAACTCTTCCGGTAACCATGGTAGAAAGCCCATGAATAATTAGTCATTGCTTCCTCAATGCACGTCATTAATGCTGTCTTGGGCTAAATCATCATTAACAGCTCATTAGCATTGCCACTCGTTAGTGGTTGATTGAGTTAGTCACTGCCCCAATTTTCCAAATATACTAAGGGGACTGCAGTTTGAGCGCACTAACCCCAGCTCCTTCAGCTCAAACCAGACCCTAATCACAGGCTTCTACAGCCCCACGGCTCCCCTCTCCATTCCCTAGCCAGAGGACAAAGTCTCCAAGGTTGATAGGATTCCTGCCCTGACCCCAGCAAAAAAACCAAAGCAGCAGCCTGGGGAAAGCTGGCAGGTCTCCACCGCCAACCCCCTCCACACACAATCCCCTCTCCCTCCCCTGTCCCCAGAGACAGTGAGGTGGCCCAACACCCTCAGCTCCAAACGCCACATAAAGGCGATCTGATGGTCACGGCCACCACGGAGGCAGCTGGGTGGAGTGCAGGAAGGCCTGGGTTCTAGTGTCATCCCCTGTCATTTCAAGCTGTGTGACCCTGAGCAAATGACTCTCCTCTCTATGGCCCAGTTTCTCTGTGGTGGTATGATGGGGATTAGACCAGCAGTTTCCAAGCTGTTCTCTGGAGACCAGAGGTGGCGGGAAGGGCACAGAAGTGCTTCAGGGGTCCCTGTGGAGGTGAAATGGAAGCCAAGCCACCAGCTCCCTCCGAGCAGAGCAAGGACACTTTATATACTGAGCTTCCTTAGAAGTTTCAATGAAGTTAAACAGGGAGCTACCCTATGAGCCAGCAACTTCCCTCTTAGGTATCAATCCAGGAGAAATGGAAATGTATGTTCACATAAAAGCTTGTACACAGGGGTGCCTGGGTGGCTCAGTGGGTTAAGCCTCTGCCTTCAGCTCAGGTCATGATCTCAGGGTCCTGGGATTGAGCCCCGCATCGGGCTCTCTGCTCAGCAGGGAATCTGCTCCACCCCCCCACCTGCCTGCCTCTAGGCCCACTTGTGATCTCCCTCTCTGTCAAACAAATAAAAAAAAAAATTTTTTTTTAATTTATTTATTTGACAGACAGAGATCACAAGTAGGCCGAGAGGCAGGCAGAGAGAAGAGAGAGAGGAGGAAGCAGGCTCCCTGCGGAGCAGAGAGCCCGATGCAGGGCTCGATCCCAGGATCCTGGGATCATGACCTGAGCTGAAGGCAGAGGCTTTAACCCACTGAGCCACCCAGGCGCCGCCACAAAAAAATAAAAAAATAAAAAAAAGAAGAAGTTTCAATGAACAAATGAGCTCTGTTACTGAAAACAGATCTGAAAAGCAATGGTTTTAGAATGATTTCATGACTTTCTCCTGGCTCTAATCTAGAATCAAATACTTAATGGTGTGAGCTCAGAGATGGGAAGCAGCTCCCAGGGGAGGAGGTCCAGCCTAGGGCAGGGCCCCCATAGGAGGGCCTTTCCCAGAATCTCTTTCACTAGGAGAAGGATGGAAGGTAGGGCATCAACTCACATTAAGATGCTTCATTCTGGGTCCCCTCTCAGGAAAACTCCTGGGATTAGGGCTCTGAGAGAATGGACAGTTTCTCTGGGTTAAATGCCTCTGCTCTGTGGAACTGCCTGGGGTTGACAGGCCTTGCTCTGTTGGGTCTAAAATGGGGGTGGGGGGGCGCCTGGCTGGCTCACTTGGTAGAGCATGCAACTCTTGATCTCAGGGTTGTGAGTTTAAGGCACACTTTGGGTGTAGAGTTTACTTAAAAATAAATAAATAAATAAATTTAAAAAATAAAAACAAAACGGCTGTGAAGTCCAGTGAAGGAAAATATCAGTCTTCCATATGTTTTTCTCCTAATCACCTGTCTTATAATAATGCCCCAATCAGGCCTCATATCCAAAAGCCCTTAGGGCAGCAGCTGTAGTCCTATGGGACAGGCCAGGCCCAGGAAGGCACCCCCCCCCCAATCCCATCAAAAACCACAGACACCAGAAGCTGCCACTCACCACATTTTTTACAAAATAAACCTCTTCCCTTCTTCCCCATGTTCCCTGAGCTCCAATTCCGAGCCTTGGACAGAAGGGGAGATGGGTGGGACACCTACATGGCATGCTCCTGCTGCTGGGGCACGGACCTGGCCCGCTGCGAGGCCTCCAGCCCTCCCCAGAAGCTGAGATTTCTCCTGAGTGAGGTGAGCACCTGTACCTGGAGGTTGGAGACAGGGGCAGGGCTGGCGGCCAGAGCTGCAGTAGCCATGGTACGGTTCAGCAGCGGATTGGGCGGAGTGCTGCTGGGCGGGTGTGTGGCCTTCCAATAGGCTTCCAAATATTCGGCCAAGTGCTCGCAGGCATCCTCCAATTGGTTCTCGTCCAGGATGATGTCAAACATTTCCTGCGGAGTCGGGGGTTAGGGGCGGGGCTGGGATGAGCCGGGCGTGACCGAGGGGGTGAGGGTGTGGCCTGGGTGTAGTGGGTGGAGTCAAAGGGTTGAAGGACAAAATTAAAAAGAAACCTCTGGATGTCCAGGAAGAGGATGACTCTCAGATATAGACACTGGCAGAACTACAAAAGGTCTTGGCACCCAGACAGTCCAACCCTCTCGTCCTAGATATAAGGCAACCAAGTCTGGAGGCCGGCTTGATGCCCCACACAGAACTGGGCTTCTGGGGCTCAAAAGCCATCTCTGACTGCCTGTCCGGCGCTCCTTTCCCCGAAGACCAGTTCACTCCCACCCTGGTACTCCTGGTGACTCTGTCTCTCATGCAGGCCAGAGGAAACAGGAGAACCCAAATATCCCCCCTTTCCCGGGGTCTGGGCACTCACGGGGGGGCACTGTGCCAGCTTCTCTGAGGCCGCTATTTGGACATTGAGGTGTTTGGATTGAGACTTCCCTCGGGACTTGATGAGCCTCTGAAGTACCTGGTTTGGGGGGAGAGAAGAGGAGCTAGAGGGATCTCGCAGTGCACCAAGTCAGAGTAGCAGGTCAGGGCTGGGGAGGGAGGGAGGGACGCTAGATGACTCTCAGCCCTGACCACCTCTTCCGAAATGACCTCGCCAGGCCTGTGTCCATCCTAACACAATGCTCAGGCTCTCTCCTGGGTCTCATGCTAGCCTCTCCTGGGAAGTGGCTCTCTGAAAGGCAGTGATTCACCTTCCTGATCCCTGTCACCTTTACAGCCTTTACTATCCAGGCAGGCATCCGCATGGGAACAGCGGCAGCCATCTTTGATGGGACACTTGCTGCGAAAAGGCGCTGTTCTGTGCTTTCCACATGATCAGCTGGTTTAGTCCTGATACTATCTCACGAGGGAACCACTATTATTATTCTCATCTCCACAGCAGTAATGATAATGGTAATAATAACTAAAGAGAAAGCCATGACCTTCACTAATGATCAAACTTAATGTCACCAACGGCACAACAGACACTTCGAGCCTCTTGAAAGACACGTCACGCCAAAATGCAAAACTTAAGCCTCATCACAAGCATACATCAAGCAAACCCACACTGAGTAACAGTCTACAAAGTCTGTGGTCTGTACTCTTCAAAAACGGCAGTGTCATAAAAATCCAAGAAAGGCTGGGGAACCGTTCTGGTTTAAGAATGTGAAAGAGAGGGGCGCCTGGGTGGCTCAGTGGGTTAAGCACCTGCCTTTGGCTTAAGGCATGATCTCGGGGGCCTGGGATTGAGCCCCAAGTAGAGCTCTCTGCTCAGCGGGGAGTCTGCTTCTCCCTCTCCTTCTGCCTCTCTGCCTCCCACTGCTTGTGCTCTCTCTCTCTCTCACTTGAGCTCTTTCTCGTTCAAATACATAAATAAAATCTAAAAAAAAAAAATGTTAAAGAGATAAGGCAACTAAATGTAACACGTGATCCTGGATTGAGGGAGAAACTGCCATAAAGAGCATTATTGGGGCAACTGAAAAATGAAGGACTAAAATATTTCTGGAATTTGGCAACTGTACTATGGTAATGTAGATTAACGTCCTTGGTTCTTAAGAAACACACGTTGAAATACTTAGGAATAATGACATGGTATGGTATCTTCAACCTACTCTCAAATGATTCAGAAGGAAAAAATATATATAAATACACATATACATAACACATACATAAAGTAAATGGGGCAAAATGTTCACAATTAGTGAATCTGAAGAAAACTAAGTAATATACTTTAAATGGCTGAATTGAATGGTGTGTGAATGATCTCAATAAAGCTGTTAAAAAAATTACTGAATCTGAGTGAAGGGCATTCAAAGAATGGCAGTTCCTGGAACTATTCTGGCAACCCTTCTCTAGATCTGGAATTATTTCAAAACAAAAATCTTTAAAAAGGGGGGGGGTGCCTGGGTGGCTCAGTCCAGCATCTGCCTTTGGCTCAGGTCATGATCCCGGGGTCCTGGGATCGAGCCCCGCATTGGGCTCCCTGATCGGCAGGAAGCCTGCTTCTCCCTCTCCCACTCCCCCTGCTTGTGTTCCCTCTCTCACTTATCTCTCTGTCAAATAAATAAACAAAATCTTTAAAAAGAGAAAAGAAAAGGGGCGCCTGGGTGGCTCAGTGGGTTAAAGCCTCTGCCTTCGGCTCAGGTCATGATCCCAGGGTCCGGAGATGGAGTCCTGCATCGGGCTCTCTGCTCAGCAGGAAGCCTGCTTCTCTTCCTCTCTCTCTGCCTGCCTCTCTGCCTAATTGTGATCTCTGTCTGTCAAATAAAAAATAAATAAAATCTTTTTTAAAAAGTAAAAAAGAAAAGAAAAGAAAAAGAATAGATATAGTGTTTAGTAGGTCCGGGTGTTTTGCATGCTTAATCCACCTATGTCATCCTCACAACCACCACATGAGGATTCCTATTTTGCAGGCGAGGAAAAAGGCACAGAGAGGTTAGGTGACTTTGCCAAAAGAGCACAGAGCGAGGAGTAGCAGTGCTGGTTCATTAACTCCGGGTGCCCTGGTTCCAGAGTTCCCACCCTTCACCTCGGTCAGTGCCCCTGGGAGAAATGGAAGGATCAGTCACTTCCCAGCTCACAAAGTGTTTTTGTATCCATTAACTCATTAGATCTTTTCAACCGCCCCAGGGAGGACTTCAATCCTATCTTCCCCTTTCTACTCCTTAGAAACTTAGGACTCAGAAAGGTCAGGGTACCTGGGTGTTCCACTCTTGGGTGTGTTCCAAAATGGGAAGTCTTTTTTTTTTTTTTTAATATTGTATTTATTTATTTGACAGAGAATGACACACCAAGAGAGGGAACACAAGCAGGGGGAGTGAGAGAGGGAGAAGCAGGCTTCCCACAGAGCAGGGAGCCCAAAGGGGCTCGATCCCAGGACCCTGGGATCATGACCTGAGTTAATGACTGAGCGACCCAGGCACCCCTAAAATGGGGACAGATATCACCCTTGGTTGTCAGTCATGAATCAGACAGAACCCGGGGCTCTTTCCATCATTACCTCAAATCCCCTCAACAATAACAAGGGAGGGACTTTAATTCCCATTTTACAGGTGAAGAAATTGAGATTGAGGCTCAGAGGCTAAATAAATCCTTCAGAGATCCCAAGCTCAGTAACAAAACAACAGCCAAACAAACAACAAAAGTGAAAGAATGAATGAATGAATGAATGAATGAATAAGTCAACCAGGGCAAAGGCTTGAACCTAATGCTGTTTTCTCCCTTCAAATCCTTCACCTGAACTCGCCCTCTATGTTTCTCAAACCCCCACTAATGCCTAGGAGGGGAAACTCACAGATCTGCAACACCAAAAAGAAGTAAATCAGCCTTCCTCCCGATTCATCTCTATCAAGGTCCAAGCGAGGACAATGCAGCAAAAAGGGACAAAATCAAATGACAGAAAAGACCTCCCAACTGCCAAGTAGTTGGGTGACACTGTGACCAAAAAAAAGCACAGTTTTCTGGACCAAGGCCGGGAGGTCAACCAGAGTGGAGACAGGGGGCTGGCCTGCATCACCCTACAATGATACTTATACCAGCTAATACATAATGGGGCACATTATACCAGACCCTTTGCTAAGTGTTAAGCATTCACATTAGGCTCAATTTTCACAATGTCCATTTGATGGAGTTTTACAGAGGAGGAAAATAAGGCTCAGGGAGATTGGGTCACACAGTTAATAAGCAGTTGCTGGGACTGAAATACAGGCCACCCAACTCCAGAGCACTCCTGTCCCCACTAGGGTCAGGCTCTCACACCCACCTTTGGAGAGGTGATCTTGATGTAAACAATGATGGGGGCCAGTGAGGTCTTGGAGAGCTGGGCTGGGTGGTTGATGGTGTCAGCATCCAAAGCGACCAACTGAAGGGTCCGGGCCAGCTCGAAGATTCGCTCGATCTCGCTCTGAACCTCAGCTGCAGGGCACGGAGTCACAGGGAAGGCGGAATGTAGGGGGGCCTCCCCAAGAGGCAACGGACAATCCAGCCCTTCTGGAGATGCACCCCCTCCACCCTCCCCTCCCACATCGCAGGGTGGGCTCACCCAGGCTGGAGCGTGTGTTGGAGCGCTCAATGATGATGTGTTTGCTGGGGTTGTTGAGGACCGAGCGCTTAGCCAGCGAAATGTCCGCTGTCACACGAGTGATGGAGATCCTGAGGGATGGAGCAAGGGGAGTAAGGGGTCAGGGTGGGCTCGAGTGCCCTGCCCATGCCCCCAGGTTCCAGGCCTTCCTCCTAGCCTTCAGTCCAAGGAAGCCCAAGATCATCATTCAAACCCACCCTGCCCATCCCCAGCAGCAAAGGACCATAGTGGGAGTGGGGAGCCAGTTCCCAGGGTCTTACCTGCCATCAAATCGATGCTTCAAGAAGTCAAATAAAGCTTTCTGCATCATGTCTGTAACCTGAGGTTGGGGGTTGGGGTGGGGGAGGAAGTCAGGTGTCTAAGTACGTACACCCTCACATTCCATTTTCTTATTTAATTCCTGAGATAAATGGGCCCCGAGGAAGTGGGGGGTTCCTTCTGGGTCTGAGGAACTTCCAATGGGGTCTCTGATTCCAAGGGTTCTTCTAGGTGGGTTCTCTGGGAAGACCCTCCAGGGGTGTCTTGGGGGAGGCAGACTGGACCCTTCTGGGTCTCCCTGTGGGTCAGGCCCCTTTGGGGGCTTCTCTGAAGGTCTGTAGCCCTCTGGAGAGATACCCTGGGAATCTGGGCCCTTCTAGGGGATCTCCCTGGAGTCTGAACCTTTCTGTAGCATCTTTCTAGAGGTCTGGGCCCCTCTGAGTCCACTCCCCTCTATGGGCTCCTACCTCGTAGCCCTTGAGCGACGGTCCCACCAGGACGATGGGTCTCATGGAAGGTACCACGTCATAGGGGGGCACATGCTCTGTCTGAGGTGAAAGCAGGGAGGGGGAACCCCACAGTGGAGATGGCATTAGCCCCTCTTCCCCAGCCTCCAGGCTCCCCCCATGCATCCTCTCCTCCCCCTACTCCCAGAGCCCAGATGTGGGGGATCAGGAGGGATGGCCAAGGAGAACCAGGGTGAGGGAAATGGGGGGGTGGGTGGAGAGGGCACGAGAATGGGTGTTAGAAGGTCCCACTAGCTCATCCCAGGGGGTGGGGAGGGGGACACAGAAAGCTGTGATACTCACCGACTTCTGCTTCTGTTTGGCTGGGTCCAGAGATTGCCAAGAGTGGGGAGCAGGGGAGAGGGGGAGGGCACCCGGGCAGGGGCAGAAGGCAAGGAAGGAGCCAGGACAAGAGAGGGAGGGAGAGCGGGCAGACGAGGAGAGATAACAAGGCATGCGTGTTAGTGACAGACAGAGCCAGAGAGAGGGGACGGGACCCCGTGCCAAGGGGGAGCCAAAGATGGCCCAAGATCAGGGCTGGGAGAAGGACTGACAGTCAGTCCAGTGGACTTGGGAATATTCTGACATGCCCTTCCCTTTTCTGGGTCTTGGGAAAAGTTCTGGAAAGGGTGACTGCCCATAATTTGGTCCCCATCTCCTGCCTCTAACGCAGTCCAACCTGCCCATTGTAAGCGTTCCTTAAACTGTCCCACTGTGCACCCAGTAGACCCCCATGTGCACACCCTAGCACCACGGAGTCCAAAAAAGATAAAGAGGGGTCACCGTTCCACTCTCCCCATCACACACGGGGGTGGAGGGCAGACACGGAACATCCCAGTTTTGTTACCACCGGCCCCTGCTTCCTGTGGTGCTGGGGCAAGAGGGTACAGCCTTCAAAGGGAAGGGATGCTTCAACTGCAGGAAACATCCCTTCCTGGGGGTGGGCCAGGGTGGGCTGGTGCGTTAAGCTGGACGTGCCTATTCCTGGTGCCATGCCAGCCCTCCCTGCTCCTTGGAGGAGGCCCTGCTCCCCAAAGAACAGGGCCAGAGCTGCATCTGAATCTGTTCTGGCCCCTCCCACTGCCAAAGAGCTGGGCCTTGACCCCCTGCCCTCTTGCCAGAACCCAGCAAGAATTACCTTCTTGAAGAAGGGGATGCGTTTGCCATGGGGTGGCGGGGTGGTGACACTGCTAACACTAGTCTTGGCAGAGCCGCTCTGCTCCCCAAGCTCTGCCTCCTCGTCCTCTAGCTCTAGGGGGTCTAGTTCAAAGGCTAAGTTAGTCATCTCATTACCTGGACCGCAGTCAGGAGAGAGGAGGGAGGCGAGATGGGGAGGAGTGGATGGACATGGAGACACAAGTACAGAAGGCAGGGATGGGATGGGGAAAAAAGAAAGAAGAAGAGGTGAATGGAAAAGAGCTAGAAGAAATGAATGGGGATGGGGCAGGGGAGTCAGGCAGAGAGATGGAGCTCCCAAAGAAAGGGGAAGGAGAGACAAGAGAGAATGGGCTCCGACAGGCCCAGCGTGGGGGGTGTCCTACTCTTCACAAGGGGTGGGGGGGTACTGCTGGGTGTGTTTGGAGGATTCAGGACTGGGGCGCCCCCTACTGCATGGAAAGGAGGGGACAGGCAGTGCGGAGACCACCCCACCCAGGAGCTCCCCGGCCCCACCCCTGCAGTTCCCCAAGGTGGCAGCAGCTCTTACCACTGGCAGGGGGCGTGGGGCGGCGGGTGCCAGTCACCACGTCTCCTAGGCTGGAACTGGAGTTGTCACCTGATTTGCTGTGTGGGCAGAGAGGCAAACGGAGCTGTGAGCGGAGGGGTGGGCGTGAGGGCGGGGGAAGCTTGTTCTCTCACAGGCTGCCTGCCCCCCACTCCCCTTGGAGATTCTCCAGCCCCACGGGTGACACCTGCAGGCGGCTGGGCCCTCGGGGCAAGTGGTCAACCCTTGTCCCAGCTGGAGGGCCCCCTTGTGGTCCCCAGCTAGACACCTGGAGCTGAGGCGGTTCTGGCGCAGCTTCTGTTCCTGCAGGAGGCGCAGGCTGTCCAGCTTGACGGGGCTGGGGATGAAGCCAACCTCACAGCCCTCCTTCACCAGTCGTCCGATCCACCAGTCGTTATTATATTTCTGCGGACAGCCACAGCAGGTGGGGTGGGAGAGACCAAAAGGGAGCTTGGAGGGGCAAGCCAGCAGCCACCCTAGAGGGAAACCACCCTGGGACCTGCCAAGCCTCCCCAGGGGGTGGCACCCCCACACACACCCTGCAAAGAGCCAGCCCCCAGGTCTCAGAACAACCCCGGGACCTGTATCCATCTCAGGCCACAGATCACCCCACCCCCAGCAGGTCCTCATCCCACCATGGGCTCACCGCGCCCTGGAAAGGCAGGAAGAGGAGCAAATGCTGACACCCACATGTGCCTGCACTCTACCACTCCCCTTACAGATCTCATTCCAAACCCTCTCGAAAGCCAGCCGTGTGACCTCGGCATCACCACCCCATTTTACCAATGAAAATTAGAGGCTCAGAGAGGGGAAGAGATTTCTCTAAGGTCACACAGCAGATTCAGCCAAGTTCTGCTAGGCTCAGAAGTCTTCTTCCGCTAGAGCTCCGGCTGCCCCTCTCCTGGTACCCACTACCCGGCACCCCCCCGCCCCCACCCTTCCAGACACCAAGTGCTCTCTCCACCTCTTTGATGTGCAGGAAGTCCTTGGGTTCGAAGGTGATGGCCACTCCCTGCACTGGCACCTCATCCCCAGGAGATGGGTTGTAGCCGACATTTGTCCGCACAGCAAACGCCACCGGCTTGGTCTAGAGGTGCACAGGGAGAATGACAACAGGAGGGTTAAGCCACAATGTACTGTATGGGATGGGGATGATGTGGAGATTTTCTGTGTTGATCATTAGAAAGTATACTGAATGGTTTAAGTAGTTTTCCTGTATATATGTTAAATTTCACAGTTTAAAAAAAAATAGAATTTGGCCTTCTCAGAATGGAGGGGGCCACTGGGGATTGGACATAGTAGTCTGGAATGACATCTGGAAAGAATATTAGTAATAATAATAATAATAACTGCAGCTACATTTACTGTGCCAGGGCCCATGTTACATGTTTTACAAGCATTACCTCATTTATTCACCACAAAAACCTTAGAAGTTAACTGCTAGGTGCGCCTGGCGAGTTCAGTCAGTGGAACACATGACTCTTGATCCTGGGGTTGTGAGTTTGAGCCCCATATTGGGTGTAGAGATTATTTAAAAAAAAACAAAAATTAAATTAAATCTTAAAAAATTTTTTAAAAAAGCGGGGGTCACCTGGGTGGCTCAGTCATTAAGCATCTGCCTTCAGCTTGGGTCATGATCCCAGGATCCTGGGATTGAGCCCTGCATTGGGCTTCCTGTTCGGCAGGAAGCCTGCTTCTCCCTCCCTCACTTGCCCTGCTCGTGTTCCCTCTCTCACTGTGTGTCTCTCTCTGTCAAATAAATAAAATCTTTATAAATAAATAAATGTTAACTACTATTATTATCTTCATTTTAATGAATGAGGACACCAAAGTTCAGAAAGGTTAAGCAGCTCGCTTGAGATCACGCAGCTAATGAGGATCAGCCCAGGACACACTGGACTCCAGAAAGAAGTGGAGAGTCTCTAGTTCCTATTATGTCTGGCAACACTATTAAGCACCTATTATACTACACAAGAAGGCAAGTAGTATAGCCCACATTTTACAGCTGTAAGACAGGGGCACATCAAGGCCTTGGGGTATACCAGCTGAGAAGTGTCAGGGCCAAAACTTGACCCTGGGTCTGTTCAGCCCATCTCTAAGGCCTGGGGTGGGGGAAATAGCGCCAGCACAGCCCCCTGACTCTGTATTTCTCACCTTGGCTTTCTCAAGCTGGGCTAATGCCTGGCGCTCTGCCTCCTTCCTTAGGGCTTCCCGGTCCTCCTCCAGAGACACGTCAGAGTCCGAGGGTCGGCTGGTGTAGGACTCCGCCGAGCCCTAAAAACAGACCAGGCTGATTCAGGGCCCACACTGCCTTCCGGCTCCTGGGCCTTGGAAAGCACAGAGGGGCCACCCATCATGGATCCCTCAAGTCTCAGCCACCCCAGCGTGATGCCACAAGGGCTAGGAAAAGGTGGTATTTAGATGAGAGGAACCAGGGACTGAGACTGGCAGGCCCCTGGGAAAACTGTGGCCCTAGGAAGGGCGACAGCAGCAAGCAGGGGGTTAAAGCAGGTCCCAGGACAGCTGCTTGGGGCCCAGGGAGGGGTGGGAACCTGATAGGGGCATAGTGCAGGGGAGGAGTGCCAGGGGACGAGTCTCCACTCCCTGTTCCTCCTTCCCTCCCCTGTCCCCAAGACCACACAGGCTGAGACAGACTCAGGAGAAGCCCACTGAGTCCTTCCAGGGACAGTAGCCACTAGCATAGGCTTGAGCTCTCTGCACCATTGGCAGCGGGCAGCGTGCTCTGCAGGATGGGGCCACCAAAAATTTTGCTATCTTCTGCTCAAAGGTGAGAGGAGATAAAATCCTACTTCCCTAGCCAGAATCAGAGAAACCCCAATCCTCAGGCTCTTACAAGATCTAAAAAGAGAACCCAAGATTCCTAGGGTAGTGCAGGCAAAAGAGGCAAGTGAAGAACAGAACATGGGGCAGGCCTTGCTGGCTGCTAGGGTCTCAGCAGGTCCACAAGTCTGGCTATGCCAGGAAGCTGGCCTTGACCATGTGGACCATCCCAGAGCACAAGGAATTCCCTCAGGGATGCAGGCGCATGGGTAAGGCCCAAAGTGTTGATGAACATGCTTATTCACGGGCGTGCTTGGGTGTGCAACTTCAAGTGCATTTAGGAGGGTGTTCTCCAGTATGTGCTGGATATGCACAACTGAACGCAGACAGGTGCACCTAAGCACAGCCGGGAGGCGGGGGGCGGGGGCACCCTAGGTGTGAATGTCCCTGACTGTGTGGGGCACATGAGGGCAGGAGCCAGGAGGTGTGCATCTATGTGACTACACAAATGGGGCGGTGTGGGGACAGGGGCAGGAGGGGATGCGGAGGAAGAGCTGGCCTACACCCATGTCAGGGGTCTTTCCTGAGGCCATGAAAGGGTCACTTGGCCAGGAATGTCTGGGGGACCTGGGAAAGGGAGAAAATAAAGTCCCAACTTCCCCAGAGGGTCCTGTCATTAGCTAGGGAGGCTGCCCACTCCTTTCCCGGCGAAATCACAAAAATGGGAGACTTGTGAAGGTGCAAGATTGGGGTGGGAAGAGCCGGAAGACAAGACAAGACAGACAAGAGCCGGAAAAGACAAAAGTGAAGGAGGGTGAAAACCAGCTCATCTCCACTCTCCACCCGTCCTGATGAGAGCACTAAGAATCAGGGAGACAGATGCCCAGAGAGCCAGAGAAACAGACCCAGAGACAGCGTGGCAGACAGGCATTTACTGATCCTTACAGAGATGCACACGTGCACACGCACGCACACACGCACTGCACATACACGTGCAGACACTCGCACGCACGCGCACGCAGTAGACATATCAGAACTGGCAGGAGCAGGGTAACAGCGAGGAGGCAAGGAGACAGGCTAGAGTGAGGGTTCCCCCCATCAGCTATCCCTTTGGGCCTGCTCCCACCCACCCCGATTCCCACCCCATCCCTAGCTCACCACTACGAGGGTCCGGCTGGGCGCCTCCATCCCGGCGCCCTCAGTGCAGGGCCCTGCCGGCCTAGGGGGTGGCCCAAACTGCCCGTTCCCCCAGGGGGCTCAGGTTACAAGCAGAGTTGCTACATGTGCAAACTGCTAGGGTATATTTAGCTCAGAGATGTGGCAAGGCCTGCCCCCCCCCAACTCCCTGCCACCTACTAGGGGTCAGAGCTAGGGAGCTGAGAGGAGGAAGGACTGAAGGCTGGGGGTCTGAGGCCCTGGGGGGGGGGAGGGGGAAAACACTGAATGAAGGAACCAAGGGCTTCTTTCTGTCAAGAGGAGTTACACCGAGCATAGCGTCATTCCTCCTGGCTCTGGCTCTGGCCCAGTCCTGCAACAGGAGGGATGAGGAAAAGACTGAAGAAAGAACTTCCTGTCTGTGTACTTAGAAGATGCTGGGATGAAGCGCTCCTTGTCTGACCCTCTCAAGTCAGGCCAGGGCTCACATGTGCCAAGTGTTGTGGAGACAGAAGAGTCATAAAGGGCCTCATTCCACAACCTGGAATCAGTCAGTGGGTGTGCCGGGCATCACCCTCTCTATCCAGCCTGAGGAGGTGGGGGGCTGACCTCCCTACTGTCCTCTGCCCTCATATGCCCTGCCCATTTCCCCTTTTGACGTACTCCCTTTCCTCGTCTGATCCCAAGGCTCTCTCGCCTTTTTTGGATACCAGGTTTTGTTGAGATGCTCTGTAGTCATAGCAACCACATGGTTCTCCGGCTGCCTCTCCCTGAGCCTGAGATGGCCTGGGGTCGAGAGTGAGAACAGAGAGGAGAATGGCATCTTCCTGACTGAGAAAAGACCCCAGAAAGCTATCCAGCTTCCTGCAGCCAGGGGTGCTGGGCTACAGTCCTCTCTCAGACCAACCCCCTCCCGCCCTCACCCCCTCCAACACACTTTCTCTTTGCATAGTCAAAAACAGTCAGCTGGATGGGCAGGAGGGCATTTCCTCCTTGCCATACCTCACCAGGGCTCCAGGGACCCAAAGGGCCTGGCTCCTCATCTCTTAGGCTCTGCCTCTACCCCACGCTGTCACAGGTTCTGGGGGAGGACGTGGAAGCAGACAGCCGGCAGGGGGAGTGGGTGACAGCCCGAAGCAAGCTAGAAGGAGGCAGGCCAGGCTGTCCCTGAATGAGATGACGCAGGCAGGCAGCAGGGGCTGGTGCCTGGAGCTGGGGGAGGGGCAGGGCGGGGGCTGAGGGAGTGGGCGCAGGCTGACAGTGTGTGTAGGAGAGGTCACCAGGGGAAGGGTGATGGGGTGGTTCCTGCCAGGTGACAAATGACAGGGGGAGGGTGCCTGGAGAAAAGCCTCAGCCCCAGCTCACCAGTGCTGGTCTCCACCAAGCAGCCCACCTCCTTCCTCTGAGCCCAGCCTCCCCATTACCTGGCGGACAAAACTGTTGGACGTGGTATCCGAGGACGTGCTCCCATCCGACCTTTTGAACCGCCCTTTCCTCTTGCTGTATTTGCCCTGGGGAAGCCAGGAATGGACAAGAGTGGAATCAGAAAGGGCTGTTCCCAACCCTCATCCCATCAGGCCCAGAGCTACAGCCAAGCTTTGGGAATATCATTCCCTGATCTGAGCAGCCCCACACCCCCATCTTCTTCCAGAGATGGTACAGCCCAGGGGGGAGGGAGGGCCCAGACCACAGCCTTGGGGTGGGGGAACAGTGGGAGAGAACCTTAGGAAGCACACCCAGAAACCCCCAAACCAAGCCAGAGATACTGGGAACAGGGAGGCGCTGAGAAGCTGGAGACTCATTAGGCAGCAAAGCTAATTAAGATGCTGGGCAGGCTGCAGAGTCCTCCAGGGAAGGGAGAGGCTGCCTGCAGTGTGAGGGGGGCAGAGAGAGCTGGGAAAAGTACCCCGCCCTTTCCCCCCTCCGCTGGAGCAGAGGGGGGCTGATTGTGGCTGGCCCCCAGAGTGACAAGGAATCGCCAACCTGGGCCCAGCTTGGCTTATCCTGAACCCGAATCTCGCCTTCATTTTTCCGCAGAGTGGGGAGGGGAGTGGCAGCTCTCAGTTCTTGGAGACCCAAAACCAGATTTCTGGGGAAGGGGGGCCCAAGAGATGGGGCATGGAACTGTATTTGGAAAGGAAACATCTAACCCCAACCCAGCCCAGAGTCATGGGGGCAGGTTTGACAACACAGACCCCCTCCCCACCAACACTAGCAGGACTGTTTCTCAGGCCCCTCTTCATCATCATGGTGGTCACACCTCTCCCCAAGGGAGAGAGGACTCAAGCTTCCACTCTCTAACCCCTGGAAGCCACTGCCCATAGCCAGTTCCCACCAGGCTGCATCAATCTGAATGCTCCTTGGCCCTGCCCCAAGACAAGACTAGGACACAGCCCCCACAAGGCCCGGGGGTAGGCTAGCTCAGCCTCACTGGCTGGGCTTCTGGCTTGGGTGGAGCAGACACTGCCTGACCTCTCTAGCAGCCACACATTCAGGTATTTCCAGGCCTCCTGTCAAGGGGGCTCATCCTTGCCTTCCCTAACTCACATACACACTTGGCCCCAGGCCAGTCCAGAGTGTGTTGGGGAGAGATAATGGGGGGTTCAGGCCCTCCAGACCCTTGCTCCCAGCCCCTATCCTAGAGTTTCTTTGCCCAAGAAGCTAGATAAAACATGATCACACTGGGGTCTCTGGTTCCTTGGGCCTGAGTACAAGAAGGAGCATGGGAAGATGGGAGAGAAAGGTACCTGGGAACCCTTCAAAATTCCTCCCTCCCAGCCCCTTCTCTCAAACCAAACACACACCCAACCTCTAGGACTGAGGATCCTTACAAACTTAAGAGAATCCTCCAGTGAGCCCCAGACTCTCTTTCACACCATCACCACCACCCCAGGATGGAAAAAGGGAGTGGCACCCAGAGAGACAAGGGACAGCTGAAAGGAAGGCCCCAGTCAGCTGCCTCCCAGGCTCCAAGGGGCCTAGGGTGGAGAAGAGAGGTATTTTTAGGTCTAACCTGACCCCCCCACCACATGACCATCAACCCACATTTTCATGGTGGTTTCAGTTGCTCCAGGCTGGTCACAACAAGAAAAGAGTTAATGGTATCCTACCCTTGGGATGTTGCCAGATTGGAGAATGGCCTTGTCCTAGAGAAATCCCTTGGCGCGACCACCCTAGACTCTGACCAGTCACCCCAGACCCTGCTGGTCACTGCGTGGGCCCGCACCACACCCAAGAACACCCCTTCCTGGGGATAACCCAAGGCACCCACAAAGTGTGATTGGGGGTGGGCCGCAGACACCCCCCAAAACCCCAAGGTAACAGGGCTTTCTCCCCTCCAGGACAGTGAGTTGGCATCCATCCAACTTTCCAAACTTTGGAGGCGTTTTCTAAGGCTGGGGGGGGGGGGGCGCGGGTGGAGAAGGAAAGATAACGTGGGTGTTGGGAGAAGGAAGCGGTCCAACAGGAGGATGTAGCTGAGGTGCCAGGATGGGGGCCCGGGGCCGGCCCCTTCCCCACCCTCGAAAGGCCCGTGTCTGCGGCTCCGAAGGCCTGCTGGCACCGCCCTGACCACCGCCTCGGCCATCTCCCAGTGCCACCCCCGCCCCACCCACCCCCGCCTGGCGCCCCCCGAACGTGCTCTGCGTCGCCCCCTTGCTTGAGCTCTCTCTCTCGCCTCCCTCAACCCCTGGATGCCCCGCCAGTACCCCCCCTCTCCAGCCCTGGAGCCAGTACCAGAGCAGCAGGGACACTGATGCGAGGGAGCGGAGACGAGGGTGACAGGCGGCCCGACCGCCCCCTCCCTGCTCCGCCAAACCGCAGCCCAACTCCAGGCCAAGCGCCCATCAATCATTAACCGGCAGGGACTGGGGGCGCGCAGGCGCCCCTCGCCCCTCGGCGCCGGGCACATAACTCCTTCTTCCCCGCGTCCCTTGAGCCGACCCCACAAGGTCCGCGGGAGCGGCCCCCTGCCCTCGGGCCCGGCCACCACACCTCACCTGCGGGCTGGGGTCGAACACCTCCATGGGGATCTCCTGGGAGGGTGGGTAAGGGCTCCGGGACATGCTGGTCTTCTGGACCATGGAGAGGAGCCTCCCCTCCGGCCGCCGGTCCGGCCCAGCCGGGCGCCCTCAGCGCATGAGAGAGGCCGTCGGAACCGAGAGCCGCGCAGCGCAGCCGGTGCCCGCTCCAGCCACCTAGCCCGGCCTTCGGCTGCCCTCTTCCTGCCTCGCGTCCCTCCTCCCGATCTCTCCTCTGCCGCCGCCGCCTCCTCGGCCCCTGAAGCCTCAGCATCTCCCCCCGCCCCCTCCGCTCCCACCTGCCCCTCCCTCCCTCCGCCCGCCCTCCCTCCGCCCGCCCCGGCCCCGCCCCTCGCAGCCCCTCCGTCGGCTCCGCACAGACAATGGGAGGGCGGCCGGAGGGAGGCACGCCCCTCCCGGCTCTGGAGGTGGGTCAGCGCCAGCCTCCAACTGGCCTCGGGTGAGAGTGGCACGCTCTGGGTCGGGGGTCGGGTGGAAAGTGAGGCCTGGCCTTGGGGCAGGGACCCGGGACCGCGGTTTACCGGTGGATGCCGAGAGCCGCTGGAGGTGAAGATTGGATTGGCACGCACCCCCCCCCTCGCCCCACGCTTCCGTCCCGAACCGCTCTCCCTTCCCATTCCACTCCAGTGTGGGCCGCCGGAACTTCCCTCTTTGATCCTGGGACCCGGCTTTAACTCCTTTCTCCCCAGTGTGGTCACAGGTTACCTTGAACCAAACAGAAAGGCCCCTCTGCCTCCAAAAGGACGATGCCCTCCGGAGGTGGAGGCAGTCTGAGACTGAAGCTGAGGCTGGGGTGATGAAAGTGTCCAAAGAGAGTCCCAACACAGAGAGCAATAAGAAATCCCAGGGACCCAGGAGTCCTTCTGGCTTTGTCCCTCATATCCCCCCAGACCCTTCCAGAAGGCAAGGTGCCCGTTTCTTGGAAGAGAGAGGAAAAAGGAGGGAGAAATGTGGAGCTGAGAGAGTGGCTAAAATCAGATCTAGAGACTTTTGACCTAGAATTGCTCCCCATTCCTCCTTGATTTGGGGTTAAATATCCAAGGCCTGGATCCCACCCACCACCACTTATGGAGAGAAAAGGAGTTAAGGGACTCTGGCAAAAACTCTGGTATTAGGGCACCTGCCTGGCTCAGTCCCTTGAGCATGTGATTCCTGATCTCAGGGTGGTGAGTTAGAGCCCCACCTTGGACAAAGAGATGAGTTAACAACAACAGCTCTGGTGTCCATTTGGTTCAGGCTCACTCGGTCACGTGGCCCTGGACAAGTAACTACACTTCTATAAAATGGGGTTGCTGGTACCGTAGTGTCTTTGTCTCCTGGGATTATAGGAGGATGAGGGAGAATGAAATCAAATGATGGACTGCTCGGGTGTTTGGAGATGCTGTAAGGTGCTGAACAGAAGTCTCTCATGGCAGGAGGAATCATTACCTCTCTACCCCTTGCCCTGGTCCTCAAAGAGGGAAGATGAGAAGCAGAATGGACAAGCTTTGCCCAGGTTCAGTGACGCTAATATAAAGCCCAGACTGCTGCCTCCTAGTAGGGGAGAGGCTGTGGGATACACTGATTCCTCCTCATCCTGGGTTCTACAAGAGGATGGCCAGTTTAAATTGTTTCTCTGATCCCATTACTTTGAGGGAGAGTAAGAATGAAGTACATCAGCACTGTGCTAACAGATCCAACCCTGAGCAGGGTTTCCATCTGTCCCTTGGACACAAGAGAGTATGTGGTATGGTATGACAGAAAAGTCATGGATATTGAAGTTGGAAAGAACAGGATGTTCAGTTTCTGCTACCTCAGGACTCAGCTGTAAAATGAAGACACTATCCGTGTTGTTTTGAAGACATGGCATGAATTTTGCTTTGCTCCCCCTCCTCTCTTCCCTCAGCTCCATTTAGCAGCCATTAAAGTTCAGGTGATGGGAGAAGGGTGCGCAGCCGGAGCCAAACAAGGAGATAAAGCTGAATTCAGATCTAGGTTTCTTGAACCCCAGAATATTCTTTGGGTTTTTGCACTGGGTGTTTCAGAGCAGGAGAAAAGAACTGTGGATGGCTCTATCATCCCATTTATTTTAACCTTCACAACTATCCATTCAGTCAGCCAATGCACTATTTCTCAAATGCTTAGTATAGGTAAAGCTCCATGCCTCCTGTGGCGCACATACAGCGAGAACCAAACAAGACTGGTTCCTGTCACCAAGGAGCTTAACATCCTCCTTTGCAAGTTAATTCATGTGGTCTTCACAACAGATGATAGGAATATTAGGATTAGGTACACTTTTCAAAGGAGTGGACTGCACCGCCAAGAGATTAAGGAACACAATGGCGCAAAAACAAAACTATGGCGAGCTATCCCGTGCTGCAGGGATTCCCGGTGTACGGGGAGAGTGACTAAAAGGTTGGTCTTGACTGATATCTCCCCTCGTTGTCTTCTCTTACTCTATTCACTAATATTTTTTCGCTAAGAAAACATCACCCCAGACAATCCACACCTCCCCCAAAGACGAGGCCACTCCAGCAAAACTACGTCGAGCCTGCGCCATCCAGCCGTGACTTCCGGCTTCCACTACCCACGTGATCAGATGCCCTTGCTGCGCAAGCCCAGTAGGAAGTCGGACTATACCACTTTGTCCCACCGAAATGATCTATTTCTACATCTTTTGAGTTTAAAACAGATTCCCGAGATTAGGATTATATTATCTCGCTCTTCACAGAGAATAAGAGTAAATTTAGCGTGGTAGGGGATGCCAGGATGGGCGGGGAATACGGGCGAGAGCGGAGCAGGGGATGGGCTCTCCCCTTCACAGATAATGGGAGGATCCCGGACGCAGGGAGGTCTTTCCTTTCGGCGCTGCAGCCGCAGCCATGAGGTGAGGGCGCGGGGGCCTCTGATTTTGGTTGATCCGCGGTGCCAGCGGACGGCAGGACTTGCTTCCGTGGCTCCGCGTGGGAGAGATGAGGTGGAGGCAGCCCTGAAGCAGCCGGTCCCGAAGCTTAGGGTTGTCCGGAGCGCCCTAGGCCCCGGTCTCCAGGGGAGTGGGGCCGGGGCGGCGCGGGGGGAGCGTCCCGAGAACGCTAGGCCGCGGGCAGGATGGGCCCCGCGCCCCATCTGGTTCGCGAGCGACTTTTGCGTGGACAGTGGAAGGGCCGCGGCGGGGTCTAGGCTGTGGCCCCCTTACTCGCTGGGCGTCCCGGAACTGAGCCGAGCTCTGCTTCCATGTGACGTAGGGCCAGTTTCGCGTAGGCCTCGGGCCTCAGACTGCTTAGAGTGAGGCGATCCCTAGCACTTTAACGCTTTCCGCCCCGTGGACGGTTCCTAAGAAAACCAGGCTAGCGGAATATAAGTTTGTTAAGAAAATTCTAAGGCTAGCTGAATGTAAGTTTGTTACTGAAATAAGACGAGGAAAACGAGCCCAAGAAGCAAAGGATTAGAGAACAAATCAGACCCTCTGGCCTCGGATTCTTAGATCTCAAGTCTCAGTACCAGAAAGGGCGTAAGGCCCCTCTTCGTCCAGTTTTATCCGTTAGCCTCATTTTGCAGAGGAGAAAACTGAGGCAGAGAAGTTAGGCATAGCTTGGACTTTGTTCTCATTCCAGGGCGGCCAGTTGCCCCTGCAAGGAATGCACAGCACAAAAATCTTGCTATAGGAAAGAGTCTTAATATGGGGGTGGGGGGCGGGTTGTTGTCCTAAATACTGAGTGCTTACACGCATCCAGTTCCTGTGTTCTATTTTTGACAGCATTAAAAGATTGGAAGGCAGGTCTTGCTGGGAAAGGGCTTCCAGGGCTTGATAATGTTTTCTGTTTGTCACAGTATGCTCAGGCTTCAGAAGAGGCTTGCCTCCAGTGTCCTCCGCTGTGGCAAAAAGAAGGTCTGGTTGGACCCCAACGAGACCAACGAAATCGCCAATGCCAATTCCCGTGAGTTGTTGGGGTCTTCGTCACCCTGCTCCTTTCTCATCCTTCATGAGATGAAAGATGTCACGATTTTTTTGACTTAACAACTGTACAAAAGCTCATAGTCTGGGGTCTTCTAAAATGGAGGGTCCCAGAAATACGGTAGAGGTTCTCTACCTGCCATTTGCCAAAATGATGGGATGGAAGTTAATGAGACAACCCAGTGTTGTATTAATGATTATTGCTAATGTGGATATTGTTTTATAACTACGTGGAGGATTTATGAGGAGATGGTACAGGGACTGGGAGTAGAGATGGCCAAGGAAATGATGAAGGGTGGACTGGGAAGACCTGGGTCCTAGAGCTTTAGTAAAGTCCTCTTGGCACACAATTTTTCAGGGCAGTTAAACAGATGTTAGTAATGCAGATAGTGACTTATCTCCATTACTTCCGTGTAATGTTGTTACAGAAAAAGGTTCAATCATCTTTGTTAAAGATAGTAAGGCAGGCTTTATTAGGGACCATTCCCACATGTGTAGGGACCACTGCACTGGAATTTTACGGCAGGGGTGGGGGGGTGGCAGATGTTGCACTCCAGTCTAAGCATAGCATGGGCATGGGCAAGTGGGAATTTATGGCCAAGGTGGATGGTATGAGGGATAGAAGATGACTAAGAGGAAACCCTAATGGTAAAGGGCTGGGGGTGGGGCAGGGGCGGTGGGATTCTGGCTAGACCTAACAGGATTGTTGCTAAAGATAGGCTGGGATGGTCAGACATCGCTTGGGGGATGTTGGTGGTTGGGGAACCTAATCTTGTATCAAAGGTAGGGGCTTGTGCTTAACTTGACTTAAGCAGGGTTCTTAAAACGACTAAAATTTTTTTTTTAAGATTTTACTTATTCATTTGACAGATCACAAGTAGGCAGAGCAGCAGGCAGAGGGTGGGGGAAGCAGGCTCCCTGATGAGCAGAGCGCCAGATGCGGGGCTTGATCCCAGGACTCTGAGGTCATGACCTGAGCCGAAGGCAGAGGCTCAATGCAATGAGCCAGTCAGGCGCCCCCAAAGATTAGAATTTAGGACATGCACAGATGGGTCTAGGAGGTTGTTCACGAGCCTGATGAAAAGTTTGGTCAAGCAAAGAACGTTGGTCAGTATCAAGGAATTTCTTAACTAGTTTTTTGTTTGTTTGTTTTTAAAAGATTTTATTTATTTATTTGACACACAGAGAGATGACAAGTAGGCAGAGCAGCAGGCAGAGACAGAGGAGAAGCAGGCTCCCTGCTGAGCAGAGAGCCCGATGTGGGGCTCGATCCCAGGACCCTGAGATCATG